ACAACTTGTCTAGAGCCATAGGGAGGGTGGTTGTCTCCTGGGACAGATCTGAACTACTCGGGCACATCGCTCCCCCAACCCAAGCTGAGAGATATTAGCGAGCTGGCTTGGCACACTTGGGACTGGGAAGGTGCGGCTCAGGGCAGGGGCTCTGCATGGGCCTCTGCTGTCATCTACAGGCCATCTACAGGACTGCAGGTACCACGACCTCGGTCCCACTCAGGCGTCTCCCAGCCATCCTACTCCTGGCTGCAGAACTCGGACCCAGTGAGTGCCTCCCCTCAACCCCACTCGTTAACAAACGCACACTCACAGACACCTGGGCTGCATGTCCAGACTCATCAGAGCAGGAGCTCTTGGAGAGGTGGTTCTGTAAATGAATGAGTGAGTGAAAGGGCGCTACAACTTATTGGTGGGTACCCACTGTGTGCAGATGTTCAGTGGGGATGGGGGATGGGGCTCTGCCCCCATTCCTTCCAGGCTATCTTCAAGCTAGCAGTGTTCAGTGAAGCAGGAGGCTCCAGATAGTGAACACTTCTTGCAGACCAGATGCTGGGTAAGTGCTCTCCCTGGAACCCCCTGACCTTACAGAGACTGGAGGAGGTCACACTATCCCTTCTGGCCCACACTACAGACACACAGGGCAGAAAAGCACAGGGAGGTTAAGTAACCTGAGGTCAGCAGCTGTCATGACAGAACTCCCATTCCAACTCCAAAGCACAACTTCAGGGCTGGGCTCTTATCTTCAAACCATGACCTCCTCTCCTGGTCCTTTCTGGCTCCTCACACAGCCACATATACAAACATACTCTCATACATGCACACATGCACTCACAGCTTTACACATGTGCACATACACATGCTTACACATAGGTATGCATATACATAAACACACATGCGTATAATACTCATGCACACAGATACACATGCATATGTGAACACACACATGCATTTATGCCTATCTGGACTAGGATTGATGCCCCTGAGCCCAACCTGAGAATCTAATTCACGATCTCAGAGCCTTGGAGAAAACCTATCTGGAAGCTTCTACTGTTGGGGAGCTGAAGAAGGCTCTGCTGTCTAAAGGCAAATGATTTGAGCCTGGTGAACCTGAGGCTGAGTAAGATGTCATTCCGGATGAGCAAAACGCTAGGCAGCTGAGGGTGGAGGCTGGCTCCTTGCCCCAGCCAAAGGCATCTCACTGAATATTCTGTGAAGATGTTTCTTTCTTTAAAATGGATTACATTACAATTGCTTTAAAATTTTTATAATTTTTTTTTTTTTGAGACGGAGTTTCACTCTTGTTACCCAGGCTGGAGTGCAATGGTGCAATCTCAGCTCACTGCAACCTCCGCCTCCTGGGTTCAGGCAATTCTCCTGCCTCAGCCTCCTGAGTAGCTGGGATTACAGGCACGCGCCACCATGCCCAGCTAATTTTTTTGTATTTTTAGTAGAGATGGGTTTCACCATGTTGACCAGGATGGTCTTGATCTCTGGACCTCATGATCCACCCTCCTCGGCCTCCCAAAGTGCTGGGATTACAGGCTTGAGCCACCGCACCCAGCCATAATTGTATTTTTTAAGCTTATCTCTTTTTATTAAAATTTTAAGTTGCATAACTAAGACTTGTTCATTGTAATTAATTCAAATTATACAGAATTATGAAAAGTAAGCAAAGGTGCTGCTTCTCCCCTCCCAGTCCCTATAACCAATGTCCATACTTCCACAGGCACACATGTCCCCCACGTGGGTCCATCAGAGAGATGCCATGCAACTACTCACTTAGCCCAGGAAAGTCAGAATATGTGGTTTTCCCTTAGTGCTCATGTTCTAGCATCCACCTGCCACATCCCCTCCAGACTGATGGGAGGATTCAGTATGCGGGATGGCTGGACCTGGTCAGGAGTGGATTTGTGGTGGCGGACTCTGCCACACAGCCCTTCATATAGCTGTGTATCCAAGGGGACAGAGACTTTAATATAGCTTAAAGTGAGAGTCAGGGCTGAAAAACTCTCTCTTTTTCTCTCCCTTCCTGGAGAGGGGAGGCTGTACATGGTGAGAGGATAGAGGCCAAATGAGCCAGACTTTGGGGAAGTCACTGCTGTGTATTCTTGTGATGCATCTGTTGATTGTTCTGGGAGGGAGGGGCAGGGGAATCTTGCAGTAAGGTCAATCCCTGGGGTGCAGAGGAGGGATTATCCTGGAAGAATCTATGGAGATTTGGCTAGTGAGGGCATGAGAGAGGGCACCACTAGGTGGCAGTGTGGGCCCAGCAATCAGAATGGGGGCTTCTGGGGAGCAGCCAGGGCAGAATTAAGTACTAAGATGGCCAGAGAGACCCACAGTGCCTGAGGCAGGGAGGCACTTGGGGCAAAACAGGGGCACATCACTGTTCCCAGCACGCAGATGAGGTGCACAGTGCTGTCATATTCACACACACACACACACACACACATTCACACACACACACAAAATAGTTGGAAGACCAAAACCCTTGGGACCCTTTGGTTTACACATAGACCACATAATCACTGACCTCTGTAGGGGATGCTTTCAAAGGGACTTCCATCGTGCTCCAACATTTACTGGCCTAGGGCAGAGAAACTTCACTGAGAACCTTACAACTGGATGTCTAGGAGTTGGTGGATCACCAGTACCCACAGAGGAAGTAGGAGGAAGTGTGTAGGCTCTTGGCTTCAACCATTACTTGCCAGCTGGGAGACCTAGGGTATATTGTAACCTCTTCATGACTTAGTTTCCTTACTTGTAAAGAGGAGATAATATGTGATAGTTGTAACAATGACATGAGGCTGCAAATTGCTGAGAGTGCTTGGCACATAGTAAGTGTTCAGTTGAATAGTCATGGTGAGAGGGAAGAAATATAGTTTTGATAGAGACCTTGAGATTTGGTCCCATAAGAGACCTAGGTTCAAAATTTTAACTCTGTTGCATGGCACCTGCAAGTCCTTTTGTCTTCATAGTAATGAGACAGTGGACCGTCCCTACTGGCAAGACAGTGGTCCACACAGGGGCCCCATACCAGGCTCTCCAGCAATCCCAACCCTCAAAGTGGGTTATGAAGTATCCATCTCCTCTACCCTCATTCCAAGAAACTGGCTTCTGACCAACTCAGGAGGGGCTGTCAGGGTTACATTGATGAAGCCCCACTTCCCTTCAGGAAAGCTACAGAGAAGTGGCTGCCCTGAAGTCTGAAACGTAACCATTTTTTCCCCAGTTTCACAGGGTTTTGCTTTCAGATCTCTTTGCCCTCTGCCATTCTGGGCAGAGCAAGGTGAGCCCTGTCTGCCCTGGATGCTATAGTTAGGCCCTTCAACACCACCAGGGGCCTGTCATCCCTGCCCAGAATCTCAAAGCTAGCCTTCTTTCTGGGCACCCTGGGAGCACACACTGGGAGGGGGGTAGGGGTGGGGTAGTGGACCCTGCCACCGCTCCCAATCCCACAGTTCTTCTGGCCCAAGGGTTTGGAGAAGATTCACATAGACCCTATAGTCCTTCAAGATGCTCCATAGTGAATTCAGTGAACTGAAAAAAGGTGGAGAGAGTCCTGGTAGGAGTGTGGGCTTCTGATTCAGAGCTGGAATCAAGCTCTTACCCTGCCATTTCCTAGCATTTGTTCCCTGGGGCTCTGTCTTCCTTCTTCGTAAAGGGAGTAACACCAGTTGTAGAGGATCAAATGCATCAAGTTCTCCCTGTAGATAAGAGGGAGTGTTACTCCTCTGCCCTCACCACCTGGCCCCAACTTCTATCACCCTACTCCCAGATTATTGCTGAATGTTTTGAGGTACAAGACTCTCTCTTCAACATTTTGTATGTGTTGGCGGGGTGGGGGGGGGAGGGGCGGAAAGTGGGGAAGGAGGCCACCAACCCAGAGTCCGGGTCATCTGGGGCCGTCTATGCTTGCCTCCTCAAATCTGCAGTCTCTTTTCCCCTGACTAGCAGGGCCGTCCAGAAACCAGTGCCAACAGAGACTGGCTGGTCTGCCTGATTCGAAAAGTTGGGATGTGCTTTCTCCTTCAACTTTTTCAACGGAAACGTTCTTGTCTGGATCGTTCTGGCTGTGGTGGCCGCCGGCTTGACCCTCAGAAATGAGAGTGGACCTACTCATTTCTGGAGCTGTCCTCTGCAGCCCGCCCTGCCCTAAGTCCCGCTCCAGACCTCACCCATGCCACCTAACCCGACACCGGTCACACAGAGTCCCAGGGTCCAGGAGCGGCCGTCCCAACACGGGGCGCTTGCACAAGCCGACAGACCTCCTTGGGGGAGCGGCTAGCAGGGAGGACAAGCCCGGGACTCCGCCCCCGCCCTGCCACGGGTTCCACGGAGAGATAAGGGGGCCCTTACCCAACGACGCAGAATGCCAGAAAGCAATCTGGGCGCGGGTTGCCAAGGCCCGGCCGCTCCTTAACTTCCCCCACGCGGCTTTCCCTACTGATCTCTCAGACCTGTCCCGCTGGGTAGCGTAAGTCCCGGGTCTACGCGCTGCTATTGGCCCTTCCCGGCCACTCGGCTCCACCCTCGGCGTCGCGATTGGTCGGCTCGCGGGGCCCCGCCCCGTTTTCCTGGAAAGTTCTTGGAAATCTGTCAAAGTATTTCCTTTCGCTGCCCAGGGCCCCAGAGCCCGCGACGGCGCCCGCGCACCCCGCCCGAGCCCCACCGGTTAGCCCACGGTTCTAGGAAGACGCCGCTTCCCGGAAGGGCTGGGACGCGGTAGACAAAAGATTAGGCGGCAGCTCGCCCCGCCCCGCTCGTCCGGCCCGGCCCCCTCGCCCTCGCAGGCGGTCCGCGCCTCTGCTTCTCAGTCCCTGCCCTGCGCCCGCGCGCTCCGGGAGCCTACCCTGGACGCGCTCCGCGCCCAGTGGCTCCCTCCCGCTGCCGCCGTCCAGCCGAGTCCCCACTCCGGAGTCGCCGCTGCCGCGGGGACATGGTCCTCTGCGTTCAGGGGTAAGCGCAGCTCTCTGCTCCCTCCTGGCCACCACGCGGGGCGCACGGGAGAACAGGGGCCTCGTGCTAGCTGCTGGGTATTGGGAGGGCTTGACGGGCCAGAGGTGACTGAGTACGGAAGGGCCTCCGGAGCGAGGCTCTGTGTGGAACTGTGACACTCCCACCCCACCCCACCCCAACACACGCACACTCGCCTCAATTCCCACTGTGGACTGGGAAGAGGGGGGCTGGCTACAGGAGGAACTCACAGGGTGGACTTAGCCTGGGTTCTCACTGGAGCAGATGGACGCCAACGGCAGGGGTCTCCCAAGATGTGGCCAACAATGCCAGATCTTCTTCTGGGCCCAGAGCACTCTGTGCTAGCCTGCCGGCTGCCCTGCCTGCTGATGACCTTGGACCAGCCCCTGGCCGGCTCTGTCCTGGTGTCCCCTCTCCTGCCCTAGTCTAGCAAGTAGTCTCTTCTTGGGAAGCCAGCCTGAGATCCTTGCCTCTCCTCAGGCTGGCACCTGAAGGTCAGCAGCTCTTGAGAGGCCCTGGGTTTAGCCTGGTCCTGTCTGGGGTACCCCCACAATCGTCTCACAACCCTGTCTCAGCCCAGTCTGGGATCCCAATGTCAGAAGGACCTTGGCTCCTGTCTCTCATCTTCAAATTTCCCAGACTTGAGGTGGGGACAGTGGAGAGGGGACGTTGATAAGCCAGAGTCTTGACCTCTGCTAAGCATTCTTGGCCATCCACTCTGTTCTGAACCTCAGCAATCCCTTCAACCAAAGGGTCTGATGCTGGCCACGGTGATCTGACAGGAGCTCAGGAAGCTCCAAGAAGAGAGGAAGGAGATATAAATGGGTGTTCTGCTCTCAGGGAGAACTGGGTGGCCCAGTGGCTGTGCTTATCACAACTGGCCTGGTGCCAAGTGAAGGAGGGTGGAAGGTGAGGCGAGGGAAGAGGACACAGAGGTGCTGGGAAGACTACTTCTCCCTTGCTGTCTCCAGCAAGTTCCTCCCTCCTGCCTGCATTCTGGGACTCCCAAACACCTACCCTACCACTGCCTTCCTCCCCAGGAGCCTCCCCCTACATTCTGGGGTCTCTTTCACTTTTTACCCTAGCCTCTTTCACTTTTTTAACCTAGCTGAGGGCCCCCTTGTAAGTTCAGGGCCAGTGTTGGATGTTGGGGAACAAAGCTTTTAACAGACTGCTGGGCTCCAAAGCAGGCACACACATGTACCTAGAACACGCCAGCCACTGTCCCCACCACGACAATGACACAGCCATGGACACACCCTGCCCATGTACACAGTCACTCACCAGGAGTTTGTGGTGATCAACACAGCTGCTCACACACCCACATGTGAGATGTGTCGGAGGACTGGCTAAGCTATCTGGAGGTGGCCACCTGCAGAAGTTCTAGCCTGACTTTCTAGGTACCTACCAGGCTCCTGGGAAGGTAGCTCTGGGCCCCAGCAGGCAGATCATCTCAAAACTTGGCCTCCAGCTCTCCAAGAGGGATTTCCGAGCTCCCACAGTACAGCCAGAGTAGGTGTGGAAAAGTTTTTGGCAGGCTGTGGGGTGCCAGAGTTGTGTGGCCCTTTCTCCCTTTGAGTGGTCACAGGGCCATGGTTTGTTAAAACCTAGAGGGTCACCTGTAACCTACACAGGAGTCAGCTCTGGCTCCTGCCACTGGTTCCTGCCTACCCCTCCCTGCCTGACAAGCAATATGGGCACTGTTTGTCATGCTGTCCTCTCTGCCTGGGGTCCCTTCCCCCAGCTCCTTCCTTTGGCCTGGCAGACTCAGCTCAGGAGCAAGCAGATCCTAACTATCCCATGACACCTGCACTTTTATGACTTTGCATTATAATTACTCTTAGTGCCATCTTCCCCAGCTAGTCTGGTTCTCCTTGAGGGCAAGGCCATGGTTTCATTAGCTCCATGTCCTGAGGCCCAGCCAGGGACTAGACCCAAAACTGAGGCCTAGAGATGTATTTTGTAAGGAGTGAGAGAGGAGCAGCAGTCTCTTCCTGGGGAAGTAAAGCCAGTCCCTGCTGCTCTCCCAAGGGGGAAGCCCTAGTATTGCCATGCTGGGTGGGCTTCCCCCAGGAGGAAGCTACTACTCAGATTTTGGTCAGCTCAGTTCTCCCAACCCCAGCCATCCAAGAATATGATGTTACTGAACCTCTCAGTGTATGGATTGGTGGGACCCCTTATGGGGGTAAGAGAAACTGAAGCCCGGTGACAAGCAAGCTTTGTGCAAAATCATAGAGCCTGGTAGGACTGGCTTGTCAGAGTGGGATCTGGAGTGTGGGTTAAGAACCCTGCCCTTTGGTGGGAGCTCATATCCACAGGAGGTGAGACTTGCCAGTGCCTTCAGAGGCCATTGTTCACCCCAGACCTTCCACTGGGAGGAGCAGAGGCCAGGATAGGCTGACTTGTATGGGTAGGGGATTATTTCAGTCTCTAAGTCCTGGCTAGTGTGGACTTAGGTCCTTCTGAGAGACACTCCTATCCATGGGGAGATAGCGTGTGACCTCAGGCAGCCTACTATAATCCTGGGGCTTCTCTGGAGGATTCCACACAGATCTATCCTACACTCAACTAGGACTGTTCAATCAGTGGGCCATTTAATCAGCCCACCTCAGTGAGGAGGGCACAAACATGAAGCTACTTTGCACTGGATTCTATGAGTGTGGTGAGAATACTAGAAATGCTTATAGGGAATGATCTGTGGTTTTGGCTGATACAAAAGACAGCGATTAATTACTGTTTAGTAAATGCAGGGGAGTAGAGAAGCGTCTTTCAGAAGACAACCCACACGTGGAAACAATCAAGGGGGCTTTTGTGATGACAAGTGGGAAATAAGATACTGGACTAATTGAGCCCATGGCTGGGTAGAAGGGAAGCTGAGGCTCATAGTGAGATGGGCCAGCCAGAGGTCATGCAGCTAGTCTGGGGCATGGGTGGGGAGGCTCTGGAGATGGGGAAGCATGGGTCCTCCACTCACTGCTCATCCACTGCCTTCTAGACCTCATCCTTTGCTGGCTGTGGAGCAGACTGGGCAGCGGCCCCTGTGGGCCCAGTCCCTGGAACTGCCCGAGCCAGTCATGCAGCCCTTGCCTGCTGGGGCCTTCCCAGAGGAGGTGGCAGAGGAGACCCGAGCCCAGACAGAGAGTGAGCCCAAAGCGCTGGACCCCGAGGAGGATCTGCTGTGCATAGCCAAGACCTTCTCCTACCTTCGGGAATCTGGTGAGTCTGAGGGGGGAGGCAGGCCTTTTCCTGGGTAGTCTGATGACAGAAGCTTATTTCTGCCATTGAGTCTGATTTTGGAGGCATGGCCCTGCCCAGGTGAGTCTGATGGGAGAGGCACAGGCCTCTCCCCAGAAGTGTAAAGCGGGAGGGACTGCCTTGACTTGCCCTGGATTGGTACCCCCAGCTAATTTCCACTATGTCCCTTGGCCCCCTCTGCACTTGCCTAGGTTGGTATTGGGGTTCTATTACAGCCAGCGAGGCCCGGCAACACCTGCAGAAGATGCCAGAGGGCACGTTCCTGGTACGTGATAGCACCCACCCCAGCTACCTGTTCACGCTGTCCGTGAAAACCACTCGTGGCCCCACCAATGTGCGCATTGAGTATGCCAACTCCAGCTTCCGTCTGGATTCCAACTGCTTGTCCAGGCCACGCATCCTGGCCTTCCCAGATGTGGTCAGCCTTGTGCAGCACTATGTGGCCTCCTGCGCTGCTGACACCCGAAGCGACAGCCCTGATCCTGCTCCCACTCCGGCCCTGCCTATGCCTAAAGAAGATGCGCCTAGTAACCCAGCGCTGCCTACTCCTCCAGCAGCCACTGCTGTACACCTAAAACTGGTGCAGCCCTTTGTGCGAAGAAGCAGTGCCCGCAGCCTACAGCACCTGTGCCGCCTTGTCATCAACCGTCTGGTGGCTGACGTGGACTGCCTGCCACTGCCCCGGCGCATGGCTGACTACCTCCGACAGTACCCCTTCCAGCTCTGACTGGGCCAGGCACTCTGCCCAGCCTCACCCAGTTGCACCCTGGAGGAGACACCAGCCCCAGCTGGACTTGGGCTCCCACTGTCCCTCCTTCAGGCATCCTGGTGCCTGCATACCTCTGGCAACTGGCCCAGGAAGAGCCAGCAAGAGCAAAGCTTGGGAGAGGGAACATGTCACACAACTTGGAGGTGAATACCCCCAGGTCCCACATGGCTTCATTACACTGAGCCATGTGTCAGAGGAGGGGGAGACAGGCAGGACCTTGTCTCACCAGTGGGCTGGGCCCAGGCCTCCACTCACTTGCCTGCCCTGGCCATCTGAACTGTATGGGCACTCTCAGCCCTGGTTTCTCAATCCCCGGGGTCAATAGCACCCCTACCTGCAGCCAGCCTCTGTTTCTAGGAGTTTGACAGGCAGAAGAACTGAGGTCAACAGTGACAATCCCCTTGTTGAGGGGTAAGCCAGGCTAGGGGACTGCACAAGTATACACTATTTATTTATTTATTCTCCTTGAGGTTGGTGTCAGGGGTGAGCCAACCCCACCTCTGTGCCCTGAGCCCTGGTAGTCCAGAGACCCCAACTCTGCCCTGGCTTCTCTGGTTCTTCCCTTGGAGAGCCCTGAGACAAGTTGCTAAAACCAAGGCAATCCTGGATGTCCTGGCACTGATCCACCCATCTGTGAATGTGTCCACTCTCTTCTCCCCCTAGCCCTATTTGGGGAGGATGGACAACTACAGTAGATAAGAAAATGCAGCTGGAGCCTCAGTCCCCAACAGAACCTGTGTCTCACCCCCTCACAGGACAGAGGTGTATCTGCATAGAGCTGGTCTCATTATGGCACAGGCCCCGGAAGATTGCTTGTGCTGTCAGGAAGAGGGGTTGCTGGTTTGAGGGCCACCACTGCAGCTCTGCTGGGTCTGCTTCCTTCCCAGGAAGGTGCCTGCACATGAGAGAAAGAAAGAAATACACTGATATTCTTTCTTTCATGAAATCTGATAAGACTTCATGAAGTAATAATTCTGACAAAGAACAATTTGGTGGTCTTTTCTCTTCCACTGATTTTTCTGTAATGACATTTACCTTTATTACCTCTTTATTTTATTACCTCTATAATAAAATGATGCCTTTCATGTATGGAGCCCTCACTGGGGCCTCTTTTGAGTTGTGTACACAATGTGTCCCCTTTGATCTTGTTATCAATATTCTCCATTTGATATCTGAGCAAGTGGAGAGACCCAGAAATCCTATGTGGCTGAGCAGTCCATGCTGGGGACTCATTGAGGAGTGAAGGAGACAGGGGCAGCCTCTCTCCTCTCATCTGTCCCCTTGGAAAATGGGAGCTAGGGGATGAAGGCCAGTTGGACTGCCTGCAGGGTGACTGTCCAGGGCACTGCCAGGTGGGACCTGGGGGGAGGATGGCAGAGGTGCACCAGCCCTGAGAGATGTGTAAACAAGAAATGCCAATTCCAAATCACAAGTGGAGAATACCCAGTGGGGAGACAGTTATGGACCACTCCTGGGGTCAGTGTTTTTTGAGATGAGAAAACCAGTAGTCAGAGAAGTCAGGGCCAGTTCTCCCAGGAAGAAGGCACAGTGGTGCAAAGGCACCAAAGCATGACTGGGAGGGGCACATTGCTGACAGTGACCTGAGGAGGGCTTGTTCTGTGCAGTGGAGGGCAGGGTAGTTGAATCAGGGTAGGGGCCAGTGAGGGGCCGGGGTGTCCAGGTTCTGGTCCAGGCTGGATGGGATTGGGGGATCCCTTCTTCTCTCTCAAGGTTCAGCACACCAGAAGTGTATGGAAGAGCAATTAAAATGAAAGCACCATTACTGGACAGCCTGACTGGAACACTAGCTGCTGAGATCTCCCTGTATCCCGAAATTTCCTGTACCTTTGCTTGAGGGACCCACAGGAAAGCTTCTCTAAACTTTGTTCATAGCTTTCTAACCTTTATTCTGGAAACCTGAATCCTAACCTTCCTGTTGTCTTAGCCCTCAAGCAATTAGAAGTCTTAGAGTAGAAGAGATACATCCTGGCAGGTTGAGAGCAAGGGTGAGGACTGACAGGCTGATGACAGGGAGGAGTGAGAAAGAGGATAGACAGCAAGAACCATGGAGTTCACACGAGACCCTGGGGACACGGAGGCAGTCATGGCTAAGAATAGGCATGATGTTGGGTGAAAGTGAGCAAGAGGTGGGTGATGGAGGGAGGGCTGTCTTTCCTGGATGTGGCACCCAGGCCCAGGAGGCCAGCCATGTCCCTGCCTTCCCTGTTGCTGGCGGCGGCCTGGGCCCTTGGCTGTCGGTGGGGCCAGACGGCACGCCTCCTCCAGGTCACCATGACCCAGCCAGGGGTATTTGCAGTTCCTCATTCCTTCAGTCTGGATTTCAACTGCTTCACGGCTTCCAGAATGCCTGAGGTAACCCCTCTGTCTGCTCCATCCCTAGATCTGAGTCACCTAGCAGACAAGTAGTGGACACAGAGGGGCCAGTGCCAAGTTCTTCCCTACCTTATGCCGCAGCCTAGACAGAAAGCTGCTGTGGCGAGAGGAAGCACAGAGAACTCTGCTTTGTCCACAGAGGGAAATGTGTCAAGGTGCCTGCCAGGTGCTAGGCATGGGGCGGGGACCTGCACCTCATGCAGCACTCACCACAACTTTGGGAGTGAAGTCGAAATATTACCGACACTCTACAGATGAGGAAACCGAGGCTCAGAGGGGGCAAGCGGCTGACTGAGGCCACTCAACAAGTGGGGCTCAGAGCAGAGCTAACCCTGGGGGTGCTGACTGCCTATTTGTCCCCTGTATTGCTACATGAGGTGGGGAGGACAGGGATGGTAGCTTCAGGCAAGTTGCTCTTGGACGTCATTTTCTATCTCCTGGTCTCCCTGCCTGCTGAGAGCTCTTGGCGGCCACCAAGGTCCTATCCTCTTCACCCTGGCCTCAGCTCAAGCCAGGGCCCAGCTCCTGTCTGGGGAGGGGCTGCCAGCTACTTCTGACTCCCAACATGTTCCAGGTTCAATCTTCTTTTCATGTTTCCCTACCAGGGTAGCGAATGACACCTGCCCAGACCCCAATTAGAGATTCACTCTAACAGATACTGAAGGTCCTCTGGCCAACATAATCACTGCTGGATGGTCCTGGCCTAGTAAAAGGAACACACATGCTGACGCTAGCCAGGGACAAAGGGATGAGCCTTCTGGTGGGTGCAAGGACCCTGCACAACAGACAAACAGTAACTAAGGTCACGCTTTACCTTTTTTTTTTTGAGACGGAGTTTCGCTCTTGTTACCCAGGCTGGAGTGCAATGGCACGATCTCGGCTCACCGCAACCTCCGCCTCCTGGGTTCAGGCAATTCTCCTGCCTCAGCCTCCTGAGTAGCTGGGATTACAGGCACGTGCCACCATGCCCAGCTAATTTTTTGTATTTTTAGTAGAGATGGGGTTTCACCATGTTGACCAGGATGGTCTCGATCTCTTGACCTCGTGATCCACCCGCCTCGGCCTCCCAAAGCGCTGGGATTACAGGCATGAGCCACAGCACCTGGCATGCTTTACCACTAAGTCCATCACCAGCACATGTGCTCCAAAGACATCAACTGGGCCAGACTCCATCTAGGTCCTGGGGACAGCAGGGAACAAGACAGACATGGTCCTCATCCTCATGGGGCTCATGGGCTATTGGGAGGGAGAGAGAGAGTGGCCTGGTGAACAAATGAGTACATCGTACAAGCTTTGAGAGTGTAAAGAAAGAAAAGGGGGGGTGGGGAGAGTAGCTTTGGGTACAAGAACACCCTGCAGCCAGGGGCAGGGGGCGTCGGGGATAGCTCTGCAGCTTTGGGTGGCAATGAGCCTGGAGACCAGGCAAAAGCAGGAACTGCCCATGCAGACAACTTGCGGAAGGGATGTACCAGGTGAAGGGAACTACAGGAGCAATGTCCCTGAGGCAGAAACCTAGAGCCCAGAGGGGCTGCCCAGGAGTGGTGGGAAGGGTGAAGGAAGCACGTGGATTTTATTTAAGGATGGCAAGGCACCTCTTCAGAGCTTAGCAGGGGAGTGCTGGGATCTGACCCTCATTTCTAAGGGAGGTATCTGTATGCATGAGGACCTGGAGGCAGGAGGCCAGAAAGAAGGTTGAAAAGTATGGGATCTGGAGGATAGAGTGTGGGAGCAGGGGCAGGAGGAGGTGAGGGCAGCAATTTTGTGACTCTGGGCAGGGTTCCTGCCCCACTGGCAGAGGTTGTCCCCATCTACAGCTGAAGAGAGAAAGCTCAGAGAGGGGTGGTGAGAGGCAGAGCCAGCGTTCACATCCTGATTCCAGACCTTGTTTGTGTAACCACTGCTCTATTCTGGCTCCAAGGGGCTGGCTTGCTAAAGCCCAGGCACCCACAGGTTCAGAAGGCATACAGAAAGGTGGGGAGATTCAGGAGGCCTTTCTGGAGGAGGGGGTCTGGGGTATGAGCCCTAGAGGATTCTGCCTCTAGGTGAGATGGAGATTGACCCTGTGTAGTGTCCCTTTCTGGTTTCACAAGTCTCCCTCTGGAACGCCCTTGGGACAGAGATGCTACTAAGCCATGCAGGCATTTCCTGTTGCCCCCAAAAACTATTTGCTAGATACCACCCTCCCCTCCAGCCACGCCACTGGGGTATCATTGGTGCCAGCGTACACATCTCACTAGTCCCTGCACCTAGGCTGGACTTTTAATCCACTGACTGAGTAAATCTCTCCTGGCCAAGGCTGGACACACGTCTGAGTAGGGCTGGGGCCCATGACTAGGCATACCTCACTCTCAGGTGGGGACCCTCCCACCCTGCCCAGTTGCCCACAGTGAAGTGGAAGGGTGGGGGGCCAGGGCCTAAAGGCCTAGAGGCCTGGCGAAGAAGGCAGGAAGACTCAGGGTCTGTGCACAGGACATCCCAGACTTCCTAAGTTCTCATAAAGGCCCTCTTCCCTCAGAAGTGGACTCTGGGCAAGCCTGGGCAGCTTTTGACACCAACCTGCTAGACCAGTTTTAATATGAAGTAGGCTTAAGCTTTGCCAGAAATTCGACAGCCTCTCATGGTGGATGTGTCCTCCTCCCTACCCCTCCCTGGCTCACATGGGCCACCCAACGGGTCACTCCAAGAGTCACTCTGGGCAGTAGACTGGGGTTCCCATGTCTGAGACTCAAGATAGAGGAGGTCCCTGGAGGTTTCATTTTGACCATAATGCAGACCTCAGGGTGGTTGGAGAGTGGCTGGGCCTGGATACTGGGGAATGGGGAGTAAACAGAAACTGATGCTCATCTCTGAGCAGGAGACATAGCAGGCCCAGGGCAGGGAGCCTTGTGATGTGGCCAAAGCTTCCTGTTCAGTGGAAAGACAGTTGCTTCCATGACCCAGGCCTGGTTGGAGCAGGCAGGGCCAAGTGCCAGAGGTAGCCTCTGAGGGCTTTGGGAACCTAGGACTGCCATAACTCCTCCAGGCAACCTCCAGCACTGTGTCACCCACACAGACCCTAATAGTGAGATGCTTACGCTGGCACCAATAATGCCCAATGGCATGCCTCAGGGGCTGGTGTCCAGAAAATGCTCCTCAGGGCAGAGTCCTGCTCCAGGGACTCTCTCTACACCAAGCACCCATGAGCCAGATGGGGCCCTTCTTGTTACTGGAGCTGGGCTCCTCCCCCAGAGTGGGGTTTGCACTCATAGTCCAGACTGGGCCAAAGCTCTGTTCTTCAAAACACCTCTCAGCCCTCAGCCTCCTCCCAGGAAGCATTTCACTGCTCCCATCCCTGCCAGCCCCAAGTCAGAGACATCACTCGTGTGTGTGAGTGTGAGTGTGTGTGTGGCGCACGCATTGACCTTTCCACTTGGCCAACATTCCTTTGTTTTTCTCAGCTCCTTCAAGTGGATGACCATGGGAGGAGGTGCTGCTGGGAGAGTAGCTTCTCAGGAAACATTTCCTCCAAAGCCCCAGAGACATGGACACGAGAAAATGAGGCTTATCCAGAAGGAGAGGTGTTCCAAGGGTAGTTTGAGGGGTGTGGGTGAAAGACTAGGAGGGACTCACTGGCAGAAGCACTGTTAACCCTGGCGTGCGAGTGCCTATGAGGATGTGCTCCCGGGCATCCTTGCCAGGTCAGCACCATCAGCCTGGCACCTAGGGGGCAGGCTGAGCTTATAAGGGTAGGCGAAGCTGGGTGGCCCTGGGCTGGTTGTTGCTTCTCTCCAGGACATATATGGCTCGGAGTAGGCCAGGGTCCTGGGTTTGCTGCTGTGGGATCGGTTCACTCCCTCTCCTACCCAGAGGTGCCCGCTTGGGAGCTGTGGACTTTGGGGGCAGGAACACCCGCTCCCAGCACCTTCACAGTCATCCCCTTTTTCTTCTGGGTCTCAGTGAGTAACCAAAGTGGGTGCTAGAGCCAGAGGATCCCTGGGCCTTGAGGAGGGCAGAGAAGGCCTGGTGTGGGCACCCCCCACCCCCAGCCTGGGTGAGGTGTTTTCGCCAGAATTGCAGCAGCTGCGGCTGGAGGCCTCTTCCCAGGAAGAGCAGAGCGCCTCTTCCAAGAACTCAGAGGAGGCCGCAGGCGGGAGGGGGAGCGGGGGAGTTAATTTTAAACCACACTGCCTTCAACGCTTCTCAGGAACCGGTTGCTCAACGTGATCTGGCAGGTCCCAGGCAGCTGGGCAGGCCTGGTGCCAGCTCAGAGGTGGCGGGTGGAGGACACGCCCCAGGGGGAGGCCCGGTGACCTTGAGGGAAGTTGGGCCCTGTCCTTGACCAGTTATCAGGGCCTGTCCCCCATTCAGCCGACCCAACTCACTGAGGGTGTGTGAGGTGGGGTGATTCATTCAGTTCTAACCAGGCAAGGTAAAATTATAACAGGACTAATAACACAAGTGTCACAGCTTTCCAAGTCCCCCAAGACTGATGACCCCATCCCACTTCTGTGCTCAGAACTTGCTGCCTGTCCTGCACCCTGGCCTGTCCTCTGGAGGTTATCTGATGAGGGCCTACTTTGAGGGTAAGGCCTGTGCTGATTCCCTATGGGATGGGACCCTGATGCCAGGCTAGTGGGGGGAGCGGGAAGTTGGAGGGTGGAGTGTGGCAAGCTGGCAAAAGTTCTGGACCTAGGGAGTGGGCCTCCTTTGTGGGCAGGGAGAACTCATGGGCCCGCAGCCCATGGCTGACTGGAAGTCAAAGTGCCTGTATTTCACCAACCTCCTGTCTCCCACCCCAGTGTGGCCACCCACTCCTGCTGACAGCCTAGGCCCACTGCCCAGTGTCTGCTCCGTGGGATGTTCTCCCTAAGGAGGAACCCCCGGAGCACCCCCTTCCCCACTACCCCGACTGGCTGCCCTCTGAGACCCCAGCAGTCTGGGCAGAGCAGGCCCTGAGTTCTAGGAAAGGATCTGAGCAAATGCCAAAAGCTGCAGTTCTTGGAACCAGGACTGCAGGGTGAGGGGATGCTTCCTGGAACCTGCTGGCCCTTCCAGGGAGTGAGGCTCAGAGGACAGCCAGTGACCTGGGGTAAGTTGGGGGAGAGGGTGCTGAGCCCTTAGCTTGGGTCTCTGCTTCCAGGAAGCCCTCCCTGACCACAAGGGCCTCCTTAGACTCCTCCATCCCGGTGCTAGGTCTAGCATGAACTCTGGTGTGCCCAGTGTCCAGCCTAGCACAGAGTGGATGACCAGAAACAGGTGTTAGTAGAGAAAAAAAGGGCATGTGTACCTGTGGAGGCAGTGTGTGGGTGTGGGTCCAGAGTGAAAGCAGGAGGTTACACAGGAGTGTCCTGCCTGGGCCAGTGGGCAGCTGGGGGTGTGAAGAACCAAGGGAGAGTAAGAGGGGAAGCAAGGTGGGGTCAGCAATGCCAGGCCCTGCTCACTGAGCCCCCTTTGCTGGTGGGCAGGCAGCCTCTGGCTCTAGTCACTCCTTCAAGCCAGCCTTGTCTTGCCCACAGTTCCCTGTCCCACAGCAGGGGGCCCAGGCCCAGCTTTGGCATCAGACCACCCATGACATGCATCTGGCTTGTTGGAGGTTTGGTTTGTCCACCTGGAGAATGCAGAGGAGAGGCTGCAGTGGGTGGGCACTGACACCTGTCTGGGACTGGATTGAGGTCTGGCCACATTTCAAGGGAATGGCTATGAGTGTTCCCATCACAGGATCCCAGGGGCAGCACTGTCAGAGCAGGGGCCTGGAAGTCTGGCTGAGGGTGCTGAGTGAGCTGGTCAGGGTCGGCACAGCTGGGAGGCACTAGGACAACCTTTTAGCCACTCATGACCCATTTACCCTCAGAATGAGGAACCTCCCCTGGCCAAGGCAGGACAGGGGTATCGGCAAGAAATTGCCTTTCTTCTCCCACCCTCAGGTCACTCCTTGACCCTCACTGAGCAGAGCTCCAAGCTTCCTACCCACCCACCCCCATGTCACAGAGAAGGTGGGGTCGATGCTGGGGTACAGAAGAGCTAGGACCCAGTGTATGGGTGGCAGCTGTGAAGTGGGGCTATGGCAGAGAGGTCCTTCCACCCCTGTAGGAGGGCAGTGGGGGCAGCCCAGGGACACAGGTCATTGCTGTGCTTGTACTTTGGAGAGGCAGCTCTCAGAGGCTGCCTGGAGCAGCTGGCAGTGGGTGGGAATGCTGCATTCTCTGTCACTTAAAGGCCCTGGTGCCTGCACCCAGGTCAGGCTGGCTGTGGCTGGAAAGAGCCTGGTGTGAATGAAGCTGACTTGGGGCCCACCTGACCTGAGTAGAAAGAGCTATGGGTTTGCAGGGGACACCAGTGTCCTGCTACAGATGGTTCTAGAGCTAGATGTCCTGTGCCATGACTTGAGCAAGTCATGAACCTTCTCTGAGCCTCAGTTTCCTATTCTGTTTTTGTTTTGTTTTATTTTGTTTTGAGACAAGGTCTCACCCTGTTGCCCAGGCTGGAGTCTAGTGGCACAATCTCGGCTCACTGCAGCTTCTACCTCCTGGGCTCAAGCGATCCTCCTACCTCAGTCTCCCAGGGAGCTGGGATTACAGGTGCCACCACACTCCACTACTTTTTTGTACAGTTCTAGTTTGATCATGTTGCCCAGTGTGGTCTGAACTCCTGGGCTCAAGCGATTCTCCTGCCTTGGCCTCTCAAAGCACTGGGATTACAGGCGTGAGCCATGGCGCCTGGCCTCCCCCTCTGTTTTGGGGACAATGTTATCACTTGCCTTACGAAATCGTTGAAAGGAGGAAATGTGTAGACTTGGTGATTTTTGTTTCTCCCCAGCATCTTCCCCTGGATCTTACCTCACCCCTCCAGCTCCCACTTCACCATGATCCCATGGAGACATGAGTCCCAGGAGAGCTCTTTCTCTGGTCCCTCTCCTAGCAAGAAGTACCTGTGGGCACACCTGGAGCATAGGCCTTGATGTTTGCAGTGCTCTGGGCAAAAGGACAAATGGAGGTCCACAGACCAGAATCTAAATATTAAATAACCATAAATCAAGCTGCTAATAAAATGTGTTCTATCCTCCTACTGAACAAATAAACTTTCATAGCAGTAAAAACATCCATAAATCTATGGTTTTTTTAATGTCTGAAAGTCAGCATATACCCAAAATGATGAAATGTAATGATTATCACTTATGTCCAGGTGTTCAGTGACCTGAGGTTTAAGTGAGAATAGAGGCTTGCCTGGTTCCTGAGGTATTCTGTATTTATTCTGTAACATCAATTCTCCTTGTCTTTGTCCTAGTAAAATGATTATGTTGTTGCAGTTAAGACTTCTACACTGTTACTGTTCTTTTGGTAGTAATAATTTAAAAGATTAAAATAAGGCTGGGCAAGGTGGCTCACACATCCCAGCGCTTTGAGAGGCCAAGGTGACAGGATTGCTTGAGGCCAGGAGTTCAACTTTACAGTGAGCTATGACTATGCTACTATACTCCAGACTGGGCAACAGAGAAAGACCCTGTCTTTAAAAAATAACAATAATAATAAGTTTTTAAAAGACTAGAATAAAATATTGGCCAGACATGGTGGCTCATGCCTATAATCCCTGCACTTTGGGAGGCCAAGGTGGCTGGATCATCTGAGGTCAGGAGTTTGAGACCAGCCTGGCCAACATGGTGAAACCCTGTCTCTACTAAAAATACAAAAAATTAGCTGGGTGTAGTGGTGGTCTCCTGTAATCCCAGCTACTTGGGAGGCTGAGGCAGGAGAATTGCTTGAACCTGGGAGGCAGAAGTTGCAGTGAGCTGAGATCACACCATTGCACTCCAGCCTGGGTGACAAGAGTGAAAATTGGTCTCAAAAAAATAAATAAAATATTATATTCAAAGAACACAAAAATATGTTAGATTAAATGAGATATATCTAAATTTTAAAAAATGTTATAGTTTAAAAAGTTATTTTTATTCTTAATTTATTATCATTATCATTATTATTATTTGAGACAAGGTTTCACTCTTTTGCCCAGGCTGGAATGCAGAGGCGTAATCTTGGCGCACTGCAGCCTTGACCTCCTGAGCGCAAGTGATCCTCCCACCTTAGCCTCCCAAGTAGCTGGGACTATATGTGTGTGCCACCACAGTCCACTAATTTTTTTTGTCATTTTTCATACAGATGGAGTTTTGCCATGTTTCCCAGGCTATCTCAAATTCCTGGGCTCAAGTGATACTCCCACCTCGGCTTCCCAAAGTCCTGGGACTTCAGATGTGAACCACTGTGCCTGCCCTTAATTTTAATGATTTTTGGGGGGTCTTGCTCTGTCACCCAGGCTGGAGTGCAGTGGTGTGATCATAGCTCACTGACACCTCAAACTTCACCGACCTCCTGCCTCCCACCCCAGTGTGGCCACCCACTCCTGCTGACAGCCTAGGCCCACCGCCCAGTGTCTGCTCCATGGGATGTTCTCCTCCCACCTCAACCTCCCAAATTGCTGGGATTACAGGAGTGAGCCACTGTGCCTGGCCTAAAAAGTTATTATTATTATTATTTTAAACAGGGTCTCAGGGGCTGAGTGTGGTGGCTCATGGCTGTAACCCCAGCACTTTGGGAAGCCGAGGCAGGTAGATCACGAGAGATGAGGAGTTCGAAACCAGCCTGGCCAAAACACCAGGCAAAACACCATCTCTACTAAAAAAATACAAAAATTGGCTGAGTGTGGTGGCATGTTTCTGTAGTCCCAGCTGCTTGGGAGGCAGAGGAAGAAGAAGAGCTTGAACCCAGGAGGCAGAGGTTGCAGTGACCCAAGATCACATCACTGCACTCCAGCCTGGGGGACAGAGTGAGACTCCATCTCAAAAAAAAAAAGGCAGGGTCTCACTCTGTCTCCCAGGCTAGAGTACAGTGGCATAGTCATGATTCACTGCAGCCTCGACCTTTCCCAGGCTTAGGTGATTCTCCCACTGTAGTCCCCTGGAGTGCACTACAGGCACCCTTCACCACACCTGGCTAACTTTTGTAATTTTTATAGAGACAGGGTTTCACCACATTGCTCAGGCTGTTGTTGAACTTCTGAGCTCAAGCAATCTACCCACTTCAGCCTCCTGAAGTGCTGGGATTACAGACGTTAACTACCACACCCAGCCTGAAAAGTTATTTAAGTAATCAAAATCACCTAATAAAATTGAGGCAAAACAGACAAACTATAAGTTATAATCATATTGCAATTTAAATTAAGAAGATTTTAAACTAAAATTTTACTTAACTTTTTGAAATTGTTATTAAATATTGCTAAATGTTTTTACAAAAAGAAATCTTAGCAGAGTGCAGTGGCTCATACTTGCAATCCCAGCACTTTGGGAAGCCAAAGTGGGAGGATCACTTGAGTCCATGAGTTCGAGGCCAACCAGGACAAGATAGTGAGACCCTTTCTCTACAAAAATTTTTTTAAATCAGCCAAGCACGGCAGTGCATATCTGTAGTTCAGCTACTTGGGAGGCTGAGGTCAGAGGATCACTTGAACCCAGGATTTTGAGGCTGCACTGAGCCGTGATTGCACCATTACACTCCTGCCTGACAGAGCAAAACTCTTCTCAAAAAGACAGAGAGAGAAGAAAAGAAATCTTCACTACTCACGGTCAAATTCTCTGCAAAGGCTGAAGTAGTGTTCGCTCTGCAGTCAGCCGAAGCACCTCCCTGCGTTGCCCTGGAACCTGAACGGTGTTATCACAAAATGGGTGTTCAGGTTTGTCTCACACTGCACCAGCACTGTCAAATCACAGTGATGGGAATGCACATGAATTCTTTAATCAATTTATTGGAAATTAGTCTCTTGTATGTTTGTGATATACTCTAGGGAACAGGTCACAGGCAGATTAGAAGAGAGTGGTGGGTCAGGCACTGTGGCTCACGCCTGTAATCAGCACTTTGGGAGACAGAGGCAAGTGGATCACGAGGTCAGGAGATCAAGAACATCCTGGCTAACATGGTGAAACCCTGTCTCTACTTTAAAAAAAAATACAAATATTAGCTGGTTGTGGTGGCACATGTTTGTAATCCCAGCTACTTGGGAGGCTGAGGCAGGAGAATAGCTTGAACCAGTGAGTTGGAGGTTGCAGTGAGTCAAGATCACACCACTGCACTCCGGCCTGGCGACAGAGTGAGACTTTGTCTAAAAAAAAAAGAGAAGAGGAGAGTGGTAACGGAGAAAGTGGACCAAATATTAAACATTAAAAATGAAATTCTAAGAGTCCTTTAAAGCACGTGCCCTGGAGTCCCAGCAGTATTGATCCTAGGTGAGGAAACCTCTTCCTTTGCATGGCTTCCCTGTGTTATTTGCAGGACAGGTCCAGAGGAAAGAGAGTCACCCCAGAAATACACAGACGCCCATGTAGTGTTGTCTCTCTATCTTGAGTTTCTTCCCAGAAACAGACTGAGACAAGCATCCAAATGCAAACAGATTATGTGGGAGGTGATGCCAAGAAGCACCATTGGGGTATCCACAGACAATTCCCCACAGTTCTCTCCTATTTCTGAATACCTGCCAGTAGAGGCACTGGTTGCCCTTGTTTTAAACAATCTTTACAAGGGTGATTATTATAGTGAGTGGCCTTAGCAGACAAAGGGCAAAAGGCAGATTTGTTTATTGTCCCATATTCCTAAAAATAACATCTCCCAGCTGGGCAGGTTTGCTTGCAGATTATCATAAAAGATGTGGCCCCCTAAATTCAGGGTTCTCCACTATAATGCAATCCAATGCATCCACAGGCATCACCGGGCCATCATCACATCACTCTGTGGGAACTGGGGTTCAGGGAAGTGGTGCCAGAAAATGCTTTTACCCTGTCTACTGCTGTTACTGTAAACAATAATCTGTTCTCTGTTTCTGAACCAGGAGTTCTGTGCCCTCTGCCATGATCCTTGAGAATATGATAGACTACCTTGTTTGCCTGAAAGTTGGGTAAAATCTCAACCTTCACAGTTCTTGATATAAAATGGGAGCGGGGGTGAGACAGGGAAGGAAATGAAACCAAAGGAGGTTAATGAGTGGGTTCCTTCTGTAGTCAACGGAGGCTCAGTCTTCAGTTGAGAGCTGAGAGCAAACACAAGCCACGGTTGTCCCACCCAAGGGGTGAGGGAGCTGGGCATGTGTCTACCGACTCTTCCTCTTCCTTGGTTTCAGGCTGCTCCAGGGGATTAACTCTCAGGCACTTTTGGTTACATACCCACCTGGCCTCTGCAGCAGAAAAACCTCAGCTCAGCATTGCAACTACTTTGTGGGAACTTGAGTGGAGGGACTGTGATGGGGGCCTACCTGAATAGTGCCCATCCTGGTGCCCAGCACAGTGCCAGCAGATAGTGATTGAATGCATGCCCCATGGCCTAAGGATAAGGATCTATTTGCCTGCCTCTGTCCTCCAACAGGCCATGAACTCCTTATGAGTAGGGACCATGTCAACTTTTCTTTCATACCACAAAGTCCTGGCAATCAGCTCACTCAAGGTCTGTTGCATGAATGAAAGATTCTAACAACAACAAAAAAAGCCTCTAAAATAAACAAAAATCAGAGTCAGCCAGAACTAGACTGAACCGTTTTTAAGTAGAAAAGGGCCATCTATCCAAAATTAATAGCAAGTGCACTCGACAGGGAGAGGCCAGAGGCACCCAAGTGAGAAACAATATGCAAATGCTCTAGTCATTACTGTTTTTCAATATTGTATTGAAGATCTCAGCCAAGCTATTAAACAAGGAAAATAAATAAGACCTATAAGTATTAGAAAGGAAAAGACAAATTTGTCATTACTTTCAGTGGTAAAATGTCAATGTAGAAAAACCAAGAGAAGCAACAAACAGCAAATCTTGTTAGAGAAACCAAAAAGGTGTAAAGTTATAAACCCATGTAAATTGACAGACTGCCCATGCAGCAGCAAAAACCAGTTAGGGCATCTCTCTGTATAATATATAACAACAAAAACAGCAACACCTGAGACTAGATAAGCAGGAAAGTGAAGCTTCCATTAGGGGCATGGCTCTGGTGCAGCCAGGGTAAGAGGAAATGAGAATTAGGGAGCTGAAGCACCTTCCTTTTGGCTGTGAGTTGTATTCTCCTGCCCACCCTTAGCCCACCAAATCTCCTCGGGGACCCTGAGCCAGGTGCACAGGCAAGGTCCTGATGTCCTTCCCTAAACTGGCCCCTCTGCACTTGGGGCTGGACACAAGCTGGCTGTCCCAGAGTGTGGATTGGCTGTGTTCATTCCCTATAGCAAAGCCAAGGGCATCAGTGCAGCTATGGGCAGGGTTCTTAAGCTGGGCTGGAGGCTCCCATCGGGAGTGGGAGTGGGTGGTAAGAGGATGAGGGAACAGCCAGATAGGAGAGGGTTCAGAGCTCATGGGGTAAAGGCAGCTTTTTGGCCCCTCCTCAAGACCAAGCAGAAGGGAAGAGCTCTACAAAATGGCAGAGAACTCAGTCTGGGGCCCTGTAGTGGAGGGGCAACACCCCAAAGGGTTCTCTACAAATAGTTGAGGCTTCTCTACTATTTGTTTGGCTCCCACCCCTCACCCTGCCAAATACAGGCACAGGCCTGGCACCCAGTTGATGGTGCTTAAGGTACAGAGGAGTAAATAAAGGCTGGAATGGCAAACTCAAACTCCACAGGGCCAGCTTTGCCTTGAGCACAGTGCTCCAGGCCACCTCTCACAGCCACAGCCAACAGCCTCCTCTGCCCTTGGAGGGCACACAGGACCTTGCTGGGCCTTCAGAGGAGAAGCAGGTGGGGGCAGGTGGAGACTCTGGTGGAGGCTCTGTTTCCTTTTCCAGCTCCAGCGCCTACCCCGCTGTGACTGGCAGAGTCTGAAGCGCTGGGCTGGCCTGGGTGTGGCCCTAGCCACGAAGATCCTCCACCCTGAGTCTTGGGCTCTAGAGGTCAATTTTTGGCTTTTGTGGGGAGGTAAGCAGAGCGTGGGAATGAGGGGACAGATGTTGGAGGGAGGCTGGTAACGGGAAAGTTCCAGGGGTTGGAGAAAGTAGAAGCATTTGAGTAAAATTTGGAAAGCTGGATTTTATTCAAGGAATCAGGGAGGGAGAGTGGCAGGAAGAATTTGTTCCAGGTGCCCAGCACAGCCCAAGCAAAGCACTGGTGTTGTGGGAAATCCTGGGGTTGGTCAGTGAAGCTTGGGAGGAGCCTGTGGTTAGTTCCCCAGGTGGGTCTGCTGGGAGGATCACCAGCCTCTATTTCCCAGAGGTCAATGGAGTGTGGTTCTCAGGGGGTGCCAAGCTCCAAACACGAAGCCAAAAAGGACAGGGATGTGGATACGCTCTGGTTCATTTCCCTCCCAGACCTTCCCCACCTTGCTGCATGACTGGGCAAGTCATGGGCCCACTCTGATCTCTGACCCTCTTTTCTATGAAATGGGGCACAGTGTTTGAGTTCACATGGGCTCTGCACTCCCATGACTTGGAGACAGTGGTTGGGCTTCTAAGGCAGGGTGATACCACACACACACACACACACCCACACGTGTGTGTGTGTGCATGCAACCCTGACCTGGTTTCTAGAGCCTGGAGCTCCCCCATGCAAGGGAAGCCCTGCTTGGACACCTGTGATTATAGACATGGACCATGAGGGGTGTACATGGTATCATGAGGGGTGATACTCCCATGGCTCTCCACTGCTGACCAGAAAAATCGGAAGGACCCAGCCACTCATGAGGAACCTGTTAGGAGGAGTCTATGTCCAAGTCCATGAGTTCTGCAAGGGCAGGGCCCCACCTGAACCATCTGACCTCCTGGGCCTGGCTTACAGTAGGTACTCAAAAAACGACTGTGCAGGAGTGATGGGCCTGCAGATAGGAGGTGAGACAGGTCAGATGAGAGCCTCAGTTACCCCTTTCCCAACACTGGGAAGGTGGTCTCAGCCCTCAGCAATCCCAGGACCCCTCACGGTGGCTGTTGACAGGAAAGGAGGACTCGTTCCAGATATTGTGTCCTTGCCTGACCTTGAATTCTGCCCCACCCAGTGGCCCTAAGGGAGGCTGAGGTACTGAGCTCTGGGCTGTGACAGAGGAAGGAAGACAGAAAGGAGGGGTGATACTGGGGCCCTAGGGTTTGCTTCTCATTTCTTTTTCCAAAGCACAATCAGTTCCCAGAAATGAAGGTACCCAGAACCAGAGAAACTCCGGGCTTTCAGGGGCACAGGGTTCCCCAGTCTTTCCACCCCTGGAGGCACCACCAACAGCCTGGGGAAGCCCCTAGCCCATGTCTACTGCTTGGGGCTTCCCCCTCTGCCCCAGATCCAGGATGGAGCACTTAGAGCATCCATACTGGAGTCAGGTGGGGCTCCCAGGAGCATGTAGCCCAGATTCATTTGCTGTGACAGATGCTGGGTGGGAGTGCTGGGAGCCTTAGACTGTGGAGGCTGGAGCTGTCAGGGCAGACCTCCGGGGAGGAAATGGTCATATGGGGCATCAACCACCTCACAGGAGTTCCATCCCTTTCTTTTCTTCTTCCTTACTTTCACTTCCCTTTTTTTGAGACAGAGTCTGGCTCTGTTGCCCACACTGGAGTGCAGTGTCACGATCTCAGCTCACTGCAACCTCCGCCTCCCGGGTTCAGGTGATTCTCCTGCCTCAGCCTCGTGAATTACAGGCATGAGCCACCACACCCAGCTAATTTTTGTATTATTAGTAGAGACAGGGTTTCACCATGTTGGCCAGGCTGGTCTTGAACTCCTGACCTCAGTTGATCCACCTGCCTCAGCCTCCCAAAGTGCTGGGATTACAGGTGTGAGCCACCGCATCCAGCCCTTTCTCTCTTTCTTGCTTCCTCCTCCCTTCTTCCTTTTCTTTTCTTTCATTTTTAAAATATATTTTTTAAAATTATTATTATTGAGATGGAGTTTCATTCTTGTTGCCCAGGCTGGAGTGCAATGCCATGATCTCAGCTCACTGTAACTTCCGCCTCCTGGGTTCAAGTGATTCTCCTGCCTCAGCCTCTGAAGTAGCTGGGATAACAGGCATAAGCCACGACACCTGGCTAATTTTTGTATTTTTAGTAGAGATGGGGTTTCACCATGTTGGCCAGGCTGGTCTTGAACTCCTGACCTCAAGTGATCTGCCTGCCTCGGCCTCCCAAAGTGTTGGGATTACAGGCATGAGCCACCATGCCCAGCCTAAAATTACTTTTTTAGAGACAGGGTCTCACTCTAATGTCCAGGCTGAAGTGCAGTGGCAAGATTATAGCTCACTGCTGTCTCAAACTCTTGGGCTCAAGTAATCCTCCTACTTCAGTCTCCTGAGTAGCTGGGACCACAGGCATGCGCCACCATGCCCAGCTCATATTTTTAATTATTGAAAACCCAATTTTGAAAACCACATACAGACTCAAATGGGCACAGAACCAAATTATGACACATTAGAATCCTTCCTATGTGCGCAGAGAACAGGGTTTGTGCTAAGCTTGAAATAAGGCTTCTCTTACTGTCTCTGTAAATCAAAAAGACTGCAAGGTGGGTTTCAGACAGAGCTAGGAATTGTAAACACTCACCTGTGAGAATGAGCAGTCACTTAGTCCCTTGCCACCAAAATCAAACACTGAAAGAAACTGGACATTGAGACCAACATAAGACTACAACTCCCATCCCAGCCCCGAGTTCAAACATTTGTGTTCACTGCTTTTTGCCTCTCACGCTAAGAAAGAATTTGCACTTACAAAATACATTTATGCTAACGAGATGCTCACTTTATCTTTTTTAAAATACACATTTGAGTTGCACATGAAATGTGCTTTGAAAGAAGGAGCTCCAAAGCTCTATGGGGCTGAGGCAGGAGGGCTGAGCAGAATGATGAAGAAACAGTGGCTTTCAGTGCAGGCCAAGAGAGTAGGGAGCAATGGTCAGTTCTTGAGCTGTGGAGTGTCTTCAACAAGGGTTTTTAGACTCATTCATTTGGTGCCTCATCCCAGAATCTCACAGGCCTAGGGACCTAAAATGCTCCCCCAGACAAGGCAAACTTCATATCCTCACATGCTGAGATGCAGTCAACTTTCAGTGTGGAACTGGGCTGGGTGTCTGTCAGTCCGTGCCACCATATCCGGAGTACATCAGAGTCTGGGTTCAGCGGCAAGCACTTTCACTACCCTCTCCTGCCCCACACCTAGCGCTCTGCCTGGCCCTTTTACTGTGGGCGTGAAAATCTGGTGCCTGGCCTGCTGGGGAGAGAGCTCATCTGCATCTGCTGCTTTCTGTTTGATTCATCACTTTTTCCTTCACCCTGAAGCCCACGTTGGCTGTGGGGCACCTCACTAGATCCTGTGGCCCCTGTGGGGGTTGAGGTTCTGGGCTGCATTTGGCCTCTGCAGCCTGCTCACCCTTCTCCTGGCTGGGATGTCAGAGGACTAGGTTCAAAGTCCAGCACAGCCAGTTGCTAGCTGTATGTAACCTTGGGCAAGTTGATGAAGAGCTCAGTCCCTTCATCCGTACAATGGACCAAACAAGGGGTCCCTGATGTGCTCAGATGGATTTATGACAGTGTGTAAACTAGTGCCAGGTGCCCGGTACTGTTGTTGCCAGCACTAAGGCCCAGGAGAGTGGTCTTCCCAACTCCACTTCAAGGGCTGCCTTTGGACTGTGTCCCCACATGGTCACATTTGCATCTCCAGATGCCCTGACACTGCCTCTAGAATATTCTGAAGGCATCCCACACTCAAACTCCCAACTCTCCCCAGCACCCAGTCTCCAACTCAGGATGGCCCCATTTACCCCAGGTCCCAATCAGATAACTGGGCCCATTCTGGTCCTGGCCATCCCCCATCCAACCCCTCAGCAATGGTTTTGAGTCACTTATGCCCCAGAATATCTGATGCCACTACTACAGATCCCAGCTGCCTCCACACCCTGGACAGTTGCAGCCTCCTGCCCCAGCCCCCTTTTTCTGACAGCCAGAAAGAGCAGCCTCAATGTCTCTCTACCCCTGTAACTCAGCTCAAAAAACCTCTTTAGGTCCCTGGGCCCCAGAAAGTCATTCAGAGCTCAGCCAAGGGCACCCACCCCCCCCCCAGCACTACCTCAACCCTACACATCCCTACCCATGTGTCTGCAGGACTCCAGGCTTTTGCCCAGACTGTCCCTACTGCCTGGTATATGGCTGTCCTGTCTACCCCTCCTCAAGCCTGGTGTGATGACCAAGGCCTCCGGCTCCAGGTCACTCAACCTGTGTCAGAACCACAGCTCAGCCAGCATATGAGCAAGTTTCTTGGCCTATTTGTTTCCTTTTCAGTATAATGAAGGGGTTCACAGCCTCCATCTCTCAGGATGTCATGGAGGTTGAGTAAGATAACCCTGGAAGTACTTGGCACAGGATGCACCATATTCTACAGGACCCTCCACTTGGTATCATTCCCCTGGTGCCTGACACATAGTAGGGCTTGAGAGATGCACCCAGGAGCAACTGCAGGTCGTCTAGAAAGCCCTCTAGGGACAGCCCTGGAAACCCCTGCTCCTGTTCCAAGGGTCCACAAGCCCAAGTGACCTCTGCACTAAGCTCTGCAGGGGACAGCCCAAGACCTAGTTATGTTGGCCTCAGTGTCTCTGAGAGTCAAATGGGCACCAATGGCAGCCTCATCCTCCCTTCCAGTCCAGCTGTGCAACCTGACCCATAACTGCTCCCTGCTCAGTGTTGGTATCCTCAACTGCAATGTGGAGACAATTTAAAAGCCCATGTGTCAGCCTGGCAACATAGCAAGACCCCGTTTCTACAAAAAATAAAATAAAAATTAGCTAGGCAGGGTGGTTCACACTTGTAATCCCAGCTACTCAGGAGGCTGAGGTGGGAGGATTGCTTGAGCCTAACAGTCGAGGCTACAGTGAGCTGAGCTATAATCATGCCAAAGTACTCCAGCCTGGGAGACAGAGTAAGACCCTGTCTCAAAAAAACAAATAATGAACAAAACCCAAACCCCCATCTGTCGGGTACAGTGATGGGCACCTACAGTCTCAGCTTCTTGGGAGGCGAAGGCAGGAGAATCACTTGAGCCCAGGAGTTTGAGCCCAGTCTGGGCAACACAAGACCTCATCTCTAGCAAAATCAAAATAAAATAAAATAAAATAAATAACCCCTAACTATAGGGTTGTGTGAGATTTAAAACCAATAAATGCAAAGCAGCTGCTTGTGGCCCAGTGCCTAGCAGGAGCTCAAAAGGCAAGGAGGTGGAGGAAGGCCAGGCAGGGCTGCCCAGATCCCTCACCTAGCTTTGAGGTACGAGAGCAACGAAGGCTCATGTAGTGCCAGCTCAGGGTTTGCTCTGCTAGCTCACAAAGCTTAGCCTCACATTGATTTCCAGGAACAGCAGAGGGACTTGGCCGCCTCTCCAGGCAAGCCAGCCTATTCCTGGAAAGCAAGGTAGGGTGGGGGTCTTCAGGTGGCAAAGGACGGACTGGCAGCTTCCTTTCTGCCCTAGCCCTGCCCCATCCTGCTAAGCCTCAGTTTCCTCATTTGTAGCACAAGGATCTCTGAGTACTTCAGGTACCAACAATCTGATCCCTCCATTTCCCAAGCCACATGCCCCAGAAGAGGGCTGCAGACCTAGTACAAGAGGGGGCAATAAGGTGACATCCTCTGCTCTGAGAGGCAGAGCGTCTGGAAAAGACCACAGCCCCTGGGAAAGGGGCCACTTAGCCAGGCCTATCTACCATGGGGCAGGGCTACTCTGAGCTCTCTCACTCTCCCGCTTTAGGCATGGCTGGAGCAGGTACCTAAAAGGTCAGCTCAGTTCAGGGCTTTCAGTGACACTGAAGTAGGCTTCCCTGCCTTTCCCACTATGTGAGCTGTAAAATTGGCCTTTCCTGTCCATTTTCCTGTAGGACTGTTGTATGTGTGAGGTGGTCTTTGGAAGAAAAGGGGGCCCTAGAATTGGAAGCTTCTGATTCCTGGTTATGAGGCTAAAGATCCCAAAGGTCTTTCCAGATACCTCAGGAGGGCCCTGGGGGGCAGAGGCTGGGGGCTGTACAGCCAGTTCCCTCAAAGGGTAAGGCACCCACTCATTCTGCAAGAGGGAAATCCTGCTGTCCTCCCACAGCTACCAGAGCTTCAGATGGGACCCAGATCTGTCCACACACCCAGGGGCTACAGTTGGCCTAATGTGGCTGTTATCTGCCCACGAAACTAGCCCAGTGGGCTTTATGGGCCAGAATCCCTGGGTTTAGTAGCTACATGGACAGCCATATAAGCACCCCCTAATTAACTCAATTAACTAACCACAGGCCGTTGGAAGCAATGGGAGATGAGAGCACAATATTGGGAGTCAGGAGTCAAGTGCTGTGTTACTTCAAGTAAGCCCCATTCCTCACTGGGAAAAAAGATCAGGGATTGAACATACATCTTGCCATGATCCACCCATTCCAGTATACATAGGCCCTCCTGGCTTCATCCAAAGTGTATTCAGGTGATTTAGGCCAAGCCTGAACACAGGTGTCTATGCTGTCTGTCTCCTAGCTTCTGTTCTGAAACCCAGCGTAAGACCCATGTCTGGCCTCCCAGTAGCTCTCCATGTGACTCCTGGGTTAGGACTGGCTTTAGGAGCCCCAAGCCTTGGCCAGGTGGGATGGTGTCTCCAGAGTCCCTTAGTACCCCTGGAGAGGGAGGTCCTAGTCCCAGCCTGGACAGGGACAGGGCTGAGGGCACCAGTTGGCCGCTTCAGTTTTGGGGACCAGGAGATTGAGAACCCCAGGGATGGCCCCATTCCACCACAGGAGCAGAATAGTGACACAGCTCTGCTCAGGCCTATGGCTTACACGGAGGGGCTAGGCCCATCAGCTCAAAATCAGGGGCTGCTGTGCTCATTTCACAGATGCAGTACCTGCAACCCAGAGAGTACAGGGCCCCTGCCCATCCTCACACACCCAAGGGGTCCTGGGCCTATCACATAACTCCACAGGAGAGCAGGAACAGGCTTGGTCCCAGTCTCTGAGGTCCTCTCTGGACCCAGTCTCTGGAGATGGATCATGGAGGCCAGCCTTGCACTTTCTCCTCACATCCCAGTCCCATTCCTCACCCACTCCCTTCTGGGGTCCATACTGGTCAGTCTTCCAGTCTTCTCACTCTGGGAAAGGGACACCTATCTCCAAATATTAGTTTAAAAAGGTGGCCTGGGCAGTTTAGGCCTGAAGGTTGAGGAAGTGTTCCCCTGGCCACACCACCTATCAGAGAAGAAGTGGTTGAGGCAATTTATCATGATCCTCAAAATTCTTCCAGCCTCTGCCCATTTCCATAATGCAATTCCAAAGCCATTTCAATTTGTAGGCATGCGTTACAGCAGCACTCACTTTAGGCCCCACAATCTGCATTTGTTTCCTGTGGCTGCTGTAACAAATTATCACACATTTAGTGGCTGAAAATAACAAACAACACAAATTTATCATCTTACTATTCTGGAGGTCAGCAATCTGAAATCAGTTTCAAATTAAATTCAAGGTGTTGGCAGGACTGCGTTCTTCCTGAGGCCCCAGGGGAGAAGAGGCTGTCTGCATTCCTTGGCTCATGGCTCTTCCTCCAACAATTGCATCACTCTAACCTCTGCTTCTATTGTTACGTTTTCTTCCATCACTCTGACACTCCTGCCTCGTTCTTTACAGAGGCCCTTGTGGTTATACTCAGTTTACCTGAAAAATCCAGGATACTCTTTCTATCTCAAGATCCTTAATCACAACTGAAAAGTCCATTTTGCTATGTGAAGGTAACAGTCACATGTTTCAGTTTAGGTGATTAAGACACTGCCATTTTGGGGGCGGGGGGGTCATTGTTCGGCCTACCACAGCAGGGGTTGATTTGCTTTGACAGTCCCAAATCCAGTTTCAGGGGGCTTGTCCACGGCAGAAGGTCATGAGGGGGAGATCAGGTTGCTGTCCTAGCCAGCACTCTGGCTGGGGGCTGGCTGAAGCCAAGAGCTCCAGGAAACCTGGCGCTTGCCCCTACGGCCGCCAAGGACAGCCTGTTCTGGTGTGGCTGCCGCACAGGGATCAGGTGCACTTGAGTCTTCGAACCAGCCATCGCTCAACTTGAACAGCTGCCTGGGTTGGGCAGAAGGCCAGGTCCTCATGGCTCTCTCTCCCTAATGACCGGAATACATGGGCCGCCAGGTCAGATGTGGGCCACATGGGAAGTCTCAGCTCTATTCTAGAAAATGCATGCAGTCAACTTACTGGTAGACATTTACTAAACCTGGGTATGCCAGACCCACAGGGGCCTCCAGAGATGAGGGGGATAAGAAGGTTTCTGAAGGCATGGGACAGAAAGTCACTGGTGCAGGGGAGGCAGGGAGAGCCCACAGCAGGTGTCCTAAGGGCGGCAGTGTCTGCACTGCCTGGGCAAAGGGAAGGTGTGTGCTCAGGGCATGAAGAGTGTTGCACAAAGGCTGAAGCCCAGGGCAGTAGAGAAATTAAACCATTCAAAAGGAGCCTATAAAGAAAAAAGGAGAGAAAAAGAAGTGAAGGCGGACAGGAAAAGACATGCTGCCCCGCAGAGGTTAACGGGGTTCCCAGCGCAAGCCGGCAGTTCTCAAACCTTGTCCACGGTGCAACCCTTTGTTATGATGGCAGCCTACTCAGAGCACTGATGGGGCCTTGTAAGGGATGCCCAGGGCTTTTCCCACAGTTGTCCTCCCCAACCTCCTCAGAACTGGATTCCGTAGGACACAGGAGAACACACTTAAGTCATGGGAAGCCAGCCAAGTGTTTAGAGAAGGGATTGGGAGTAGCTATTGGCCCAGAGTCCAGGTAGGGATGAGGGAGCAAAAAAGAGTATATTCCTTGCATTTAGGGGGTTGGGGGCATATTTTAATAAGGCAGCTGGATGAGTCCCATGGAGAAACCCACTGACAACTGGGAAAAGCATCCAACTGTGAGACATGGCCTGTTTCCCCAACTATCTGAAGAAGAGATAGAATTACGTTCCCAGAGTACATCAAATGGAAGCCTACACTCCTGTCTATGCTCTGGGCTCTGGCTGAAGGAGGCTACATGGGCAGTAGGCACATATCTCAATACCTCAGCAGCCTGCACAGCCTGGACTCCACCATCAGTTTCATGTCCTCCTCCCATTCTACCTGCAAGTGCTCCTGGACACATGCTGGGGGTCAGTTCTGAGTCACTGGCTTTGGCCTCAGGAGCAAGGGAGGGGATAGGGTAAGTGAGCCTAGCTTTCCCTGAGCTGGAGCCACTGGTTTCCCTGGTCTCGGCCTCAAGACACTGGGGCCCTAGTGAGGAGGGGCTGAGGGGAGATGTGGGGTGCCAGGCTACCAGCCTGCTGGCTCCATCTCTAGATAACAGTGAGGATTCAAGAGCCCAAGACTGAAACCCCTGCCTTCCCTCCTTTCAAGACTGCTTTGTGTCCCTGCCTGCCTTATGTTTGTCCCAAGCATCAGACGGACGCCCGAGGGCACTGGGCCCTCCCTCTCTGTGTCTGCCCTCCGAGGAAGGCAAGAAGAAGTGCCACAATGTGACAAGCCAGGCACATTCCATGGGCTCCTCAAATGCGTCCTATAAAATAAAGCATTTAGTCCCATTTCTCAGCCTTAGAAGCCAAGGCTGAGTGAGGTGAAGTCATCTGCCCAAGGTTACATCTTGGTGAGGGGCAGTTCCTGGGACATGAATCTGGTGTGGCTCCAACATCAGGGCTCAATGTCCAGGACCCAATCAAGCCGGTGTCTGCAGGCTTCAGGGCCCGCCTGCCAGTCCACTTGGCTTAGACGTTTTCCCCAGCAGAGTCAAGCCACACGTTTTTCTGGGCAGAAAGTTGCCCCCAAGGATGGCTTCTGCTCATGGCCCCAGCTTCCCCGACACTGTCACTCCCCAACACTGTACTCTCTTCCAGTGTAACATCCACAAGCTTGCCAAGGCCCTTCCTCAGGAATGGGCCTGAGGCCAGGAGGGTGAGACCATCAGGGATGCCAGGACTGGCTGAGGTGTGGGGGGCGACAAACTGCTCTGGGATCAGGGAAGCTGCCCTGAGATGCTGCTGAAGACAGCAAGAGCCAAAGGGCACATGGAGGAAGAGAGAAGGGGCAATACTGGTGAGGACCATAGCAGGCAAAGGTCTGTGGGCACGGGAGGCACAGGAAGTGGGGAGCCTCACCCTGGTTGCGTATCCTCTTTGCCCTCCCCACCCAGGTTCCTTCTGGATCAGCCTTCTCAAAGGAAGCCACGGGCAGTTCAGGGTCCATGCAGCTGGGGCTGGGCACAGGGCAGGACCCTGGGGCACTGCAAGCTGCAGCATGACCTCTGCCAAATGTGTCCTCCAGCCATAGTGCAGGGCAACACTCAGGCGGGGTAGGACTCCAGCAATACAGGCTCCGCAAAGGCAGGGATCTAACCTACTGTCTCCACTTGGCCACTATCATGGGACCTCAGGCAGGCAACACCTTCTGTTGGTCATGCTGGTGTCTGAATGTCCATTCTCTCTGGAGAATTCAGACACCAGCATGCACATCCCACTTGGCTAAGAGTAAAGAGGCTGTCACTTGGCATTGGCCTGGGACTCAGAAGAGCCAGCTTCTCACAGGGAAAGGAGCTGCCCAAGGTCCCACTGCAGGACACAGCCCTGGAACTCAGCTCTCCAGCTCCCACAGAGAATGCTGCCCATAAGACTATACTCCCAGGCCCCTGGAAGTGCTGGGGCATCAGGAGGCAGTCTGGTGGAATGAGCCAGCCTGGTTTGCCATGCTCCTTAGGACCCACCCTGATGCAGACTCACAGCATCAGCACTCACCAACCTAGAGATTTCCTGTCGCTGTTGACAGGAAGGCTGGATCTTCAGGCCTCCTGGTGACCATGAGTCTGCACAGACCAGAGCTGTGGTGGAGGCCAAAACCCTGTTCCCCATCTCTCAGCTTCTCATTCTCCCCAGCCCCAACCAGGGACACAACAGTTATCTGAAACCCCAGGGGGTCAACTCGGAAGGGATGTTTTAGCTAAAAGCAACGTGGATAAAAAGAAAACAAAAGCCCTGCTCATTCCTCACTGGCTCAAGCTTCAGTTAAATGAATGTGGATGTGTGACCCAAGAACCGTGCAGCAAGGACCTCCAGGCCCTCCCCTCCAGAAAGCAGGCAGTCATCCCTGAGGTGACGGGCAGATGAGCTTCCTGTGCTCAGAGCCAGGCTTGGCTAGGGAAGTGTGTGTGCATGCACCCAGGGCAGGGGAGGACTTATCAACCCCTGGGAGTGAGGTGCTCTACACCAGGCCCCATGGTATGCAAGGCCAGGAGTGAGCACATGTGCCTTCCTCCACGCTGCACTCCCACACCTCTACCAAGCCAGCCCAGCTGGGGCAGAAGAAAACTCTCACCCCAGTGCTACCTGAGAGTAAGGGGTCAGGGGACCTGCAAGTCATGGAACAAAATATTAAGTCACCATTTGTTATTCTCTCAGTACTTTACCGACTATATCCCCTGACACCCCCACAGCAACTTCACCAACACAGAGCAACCCTCGGCCACCCTGATGTGATGGAGCCAGACTGAGAACTTGGGTCTACCCAGGTGTGGTAGGAATGTCCTAGAAATGCAGAACATGGAGAAATCACAGAACCATGGAAAATACCATAAGCACCTGGGTTCTGGAAAGTGCCATCCACCTCCCTCTGGTCAGGCTGGGGGCACTGACAAGGCATCCACAGGGCAGCCATGCTATGGCCCAGACCTCCGGATATGCAGGAACCGGGGCCTGAGGAGACAGTGACAAGGGGCTGGTTACTGCCTGGGCCTTGGGGAATGAGCAGGGAGTGGGAACAGCATACTCTACCCACAGCCGGGGCCGAGGATGGCCCCAGTGGAAAGACTAGTGTGCTACAGGGCTAAAGGAGGGTGGGACCTCACCTCCCACAGAAGTCCCTGCGCACAGCCACAAGATTAAGGTACAGCTCAGGCCGGCTCTGAAGCCAGCTGCTGACAAGCTCCAGGTGCCTCGGGTCCACTTCCAAGAAGATACTCCTGCATGGGGGAGAAATGGATGGGCTCAGAAGGACAGGGCTGGGACCTGCCATTCTGGGCAACTTGGGCTGGTGAGGTGAGGGTCCTGTGCTCACTTCTGCTAGGGCCTGCCCAGTACACACTAGGAGAAGAGGTGGCTGCTGGGGGCAGACCTAGGAGGCCCATCCCATTCATACCCACAGTCCTTCAGGAGCCGGGGTGCCAGGGCTAGGATGTGGGTAATGATGTCCATGCCCTCCTCCCCACCGTCCAGGGCTGCGGGGTCTTCATAGCTGAAAGGGAAAGCAGTGGGATGTGACAGCCTGAGGGAAGGGTATTCGAAATGCATGGAGGGTGTGGGCAGAGTTTCCACGAATGGGGCCGCATGGAACTTACACTCTGGGCTGAAGGGCAAGTCTGAGGACCCAGAGAAGGTGGCCCCCAAATGGGTGGCAGTTCCTCTTCCCTTCCTCCCATGGGCAGCACCCTACCAGGCAGTGCCAGGTGTGCTTGCTGAATCCCATGGGCTGTCAGGGCATGAGTGCCTTCCCACAGGCTGCTCCTCTTCTTGGTCTAGATCTAGAGCTAGCCCTCACCACTCCTGTGAACCCAGAAAGGGAGAACCAACACCCCAACCCCATCCCACATGACTGCTGCCCCATCCAGAACTCCTGGGCTGTTCCTGGTTCTCAGCCCCTGTGTAAGGTGAGGATGCCCTGGTGCAAAGCCAAGTTTAGTCCCAGCTTTCCCACTAAGCCCCCATGTGACCCTAGACAAGACACCTTCCCTCACTGGGCCTGTCTTCTGTAAAACGACATGCCTATCTACTGAGTCACCCCTATGGGCCCTGCACTGTGTCTGATGCTTTCAAGTCACCACTGAATCCTCTCATAGCCCTGCAGAGCACTACCTCTCTTTTTTCAGAGGCAGGAAATAGGCCCAGAGATTCGGTGGCTGTCCAGTAGTCTTAAGTAGGAAGGTAGAGGTGGAACCTAGGTAGGATTGTGGGCTCTGGAGTGCATCCACTTAACACCACACCTGTTTCAGCACCAGCCGCCCTGTCCCTCCAGATGGTGTGGTCCTCGAGGGCAGACCAATCCCATTAGGCCTTCTCAAGCCTGGCCTCCCTGGACCACCCTGTTTAGCACCTGCCTGTGGATCTCAGGGGCCAGCTGTTCCATGTCCTGGTGGAAGACATAGGGAGGGTTGCTGACGACCAGGTCCACGGGGCCCCAGGGCAGGTGTGTCCAGCTCCCTTCTGTGGCCAAAGAAGAAAACCCATAGTAGGGACTAACCCACTGGGAAGTAAAGGATAATAGCTCCACCTGCCACCATGTCCCTCTCATCAAGCCACACTTTGGGCCTGCCTCTAGATCTGATAAGCCAGACTTGCAAATTAGTGCCCAGGGTCCCTGGCTGACAGCCTAGTGGGGAATGTGTGTGCTTTAACATGGCAGCCCTTCATTTCAAAACCTAGAAATTTACCAAAAATCCTCCTTGTTATGCAAGACTCCATTCAAGACTTCCTCCCTGATTGCCTAGGCAGGAAAGAGCCTTTCTCTTCTGTAGCTCCACTAGCCTTATAGCCAACACAGACTGAGAGTACATGGAGGGCAGGCCTGGCCTCATCAGCCAATTCCTGATGGTTCTGACTACTGGTTTCACCCTCTGCCAGGTGCTATACCAAGTATATCATACTCCATGGAGGGGGCACATGAGGCTCAAGGACCCCATGGGTAAGGCGATGGAGCCAGAACTGGAGTTGGAGGTCTGCAAACATTATGAAGGCTACGGCTGAGCTGGACACTGTAAAGGCTATGGCTGAGCTGGACACTCTAAAGGCAACAGCTGAGCTGTGCAGTGCCAGGCCAGGTGGGGGAGAAGGGCACTCAATTATTTGGTCCCAAAGCATTATTTTAAGCTTTTGCTTATCTGTTGCCAACAGGCAAGGCCTTAACTCACTAGTTATGATGAATTCATAAGTTCTCTGTGACTGGTCCCTTATGGGTCTGGTCAGCCTAGGAGGCTGTCCTCAGCAAGGCCTAGTTTGGGCTGCCACACATGTGTGTGGTCGAGTGGCTTTTGGGGAAGCCCTCCTTCCATCTCTGCAGAGTGCCTCATCCACCCAACAGCACCTATATCTAGGCTCCCACCTGAAGGAGCATGCAGGGGAGAGTACCTGAGGTCATGTCAAGGTGGATGATCCAAATCCTGTCCTGCAACCGAAGCCTGGACAGATGGAGAGAAAGGGGTGAGCACAGGGGCAGACCCCTACCCTAGGCTACAAGAGTGAGGTATTGTGGCCAACCCTTCTTGGACTGGCAAGATGCTCAGTGCCCACTACCCATACAGAATCCTGTGGGACCCGTGCCAGGCTACTCCCACTGCTTCCTCCTTCTTTGGAGTAGAAATCAGACATTGGTTAGATTGAAATCTGAAAAGGAGTCAAGATCAGGCCCCAAAGTACAACTCTTCCACCTACCTCTGAGCATTCTCATGGGTCAGAGAGATGGCCGCTTCCCCCTTATCCACAGCAATCACTCGGCTCTGTCCCAAGAACAAACAGAGGGTATGTGGAAGGCAATGCTGGGAGATGCTGGGCCTGGGGGACCCTCCTCCAACCCCCCACCAGAAGAGAAGGGAAATACCCAACAGCCTTTTCTTCTTAGCCAAAGTCTAGCCAGACAGATGTGGTAGGAGTTAAGAGTCTGTGAACCACACTGGGCTGGGGGCAGCCCTGTCCTCCCTCATCTAACTGCTTCCCCTCAAGTGCTCCTAGCAGAGGGATGTGGGGGAAACACTAATGGGAGGGACAGTGAGTGTCAGTCACAGTCTACCCAGAGCAGGTGGAGGGGCTCACCTGGGGAAGCTGGCTCAGCAGGCTGAGGGAAATGGCTCCCGATCCACAGCCCACCTCCAGAATGAGGGGGCTGCCTGGGGATCCCACAGCATGGGACCTCTGGGCCACCTCTTCCAGCACCCACTCAACCAGTTCCTGTGAAGCAGAGGGGTCTGGATCAGAGTTGGTGCCAACATGGCTCCTGGGAGTCTTGATACAGAGGACCAAGCAGTTAGCCCTGTGTGGACGTAGATAGGGGAGGTAGCCAAAGCCAGACTGAACTTCACGGCAGCTGGGCCATGGCTAAGTCACCCTTGGCCCTCCAGGCCTCAGCTTTCCCATCTGTACAACTGAGCCCAGCTGAGGATAGCCCACCTTGTGGGGATGTGGTAGGGATTAAATGGACTAATCTGCACCTGTTTCATGGTAAGTGTTCAATCAACTCCAACTAAACCCTTACAGACATCCTCCCATTCTGTGCTTACAGAAATGCTAAGAACCAGCCAGGAGTGGTGGCTCATGCCTGTAATCTCAACACTTTGTCAGGCTGAGGCAGGCAGATCACTTGAGGTCAGGAGTTTGAAACCAGCTTGGCCAACATGGTGAAACCCTATCTCTGCTAAAAGTGTGAAAATCTGCTGGGTGTGGTGGCAGGTGCCTATAGTCCCAGCTACTCAGGGGCTGAGGTGAGAGAATTGCTTAAGCCTGGGAGGTAGAGGTTGCAGTGGGATTGCGCCACTGCACTCCAGCCTGGGAGCCAGAGCAACACTCCATCTCAAAAAAAAAAAAGCTAAGAACCATATCTGATAGTTCCTGGCCACTGCCTCTGGCCTGACTCTGCTCCCAGAGCTTTTCCTGTGTAATCTGTTAAATCCTCACAACTGTCCCATGAGGAAACTGAGGCCTAGGGTCAAGGCCCCACCTGACCCTGGCCTGTGGTTCATGGTGGCAAGCAATCTCCTCACAGAGCTGAGCTTGAGAGGCCCCCAGGGAGGCTCCTAGCCAAAGGGACAGGAAATCCCCTCCTTTGGAGGGAATGGGCCACGGGGGACATGGTCCTGACTAAGTTCTATACCTGATGAGGGCTGTGGCACACAGGCACGGATCCACAGGCACGGGTGCAGAGGGAGGTGCCTGACTGCACTGTACCTGCCTTGGCAGCAGGAGGACATTTTCAGACACTGTCACTTTGGAAACAAGAGGGTTTTGAGCCTTGTTCACCAAGCCACTGCCTGCAAGGACTATGCCTGGAAACCAACATAGGGTACGGGTGAAGGGTGGAGGGCTCCTGCTGTCCAATGGCCGAAATGTTTCTAACCAGCAATGGAGTTGGACACCTGCGTACCCAGGTGTGGAGCAAGGAAAGGGCAGTGTAGCCCCATCTCAAAGGCATCCCTTTGGATGTCGGCAGAGGGGCCCCCCAGAGGGTCAGGACTCCTGTGATCCCAGTTCTCAGGGAAGACTGGCTCAGGGAACTGGGGACAGTGGGCAGCAAGTGGGTGCTTCCCTGATCTGAAAAGAGGACCACCTTTTCCAGAAAATCTTCCCCAAGCCTGGGCCAGGCTCTCTCTACCACAGCTTTCCCCACCCTGAGCCTAATGTCTAGGATGGGGTTTGCCTCTCCCACCAGACTCCATAACGGGAAGACCCCCAACTCATGGCAGTACGTCCCACACTGGCATGGCTTGGCCCACAAACATACCTCTTGGCTACTTTCTAAGTGCTGGGCAAGCTCTCTGTGGCACCACCCTCTGTGTCTCATACCCCCAGGTCTCCCCTACACCCCAAAGCTATCAGCCAGGCTCAGTGGAACAGAGGGCTCCAGATCACTCACACTTACTTTCCATATAAGTTCCCCAGTGCTGGGTTCCAAAAAGCATCTCACCCTTCCAGGCCCCCAACCCAGCAACAATTTTCATCCACCCAGAAGGTGGCAAGTCCAAGGCAGGCAGAACTTGGCTAGCAGGTCCATCCCTCCCTGTTCCAAGCCTCTTCTGCACCAAACAAGTGATTGCCTGCAGGTGAGGGGTCCCAGCTCCAGCAGGAGAGGGCGTGTATTCACTAGCTCTCACCAGCCCTGTGCCAGGCACTACTGGAGACCACTAGGGCACCTGTGGCAAGCTAGGCCTGCAGGGTTGGGACAGGTACAGAGTGAGCAATGTAGGGCTGTTGCCTGAGAGCCTGTGGTCTCAGTGGTGAGGCCACATGCTGAGAGGTTGGTAGGGTGACCAGGACTTGCCAGGTGTATGAGCCTCTCTTGGTTTCCTGGCCATAGACAGACCTACTCTGGCTGGAGAATGACCCCTCAGCCAGCCACACTGACCAGCCACCTCACAGAGATACTCACGACCTCAAAGACACACACCACAAATGTGGATGGCCACCTTGGGGAGGGTGAGAAACTGAGAGACTGAGCTCCTGCCACCACTAGTGGCCTCTTCCTTGCCATAACACTCCAGACCACAGGAGGCTCATCTTGGTTTTTGTGCCCCATCTTGGGGCAGGGGTAAAGAACAGCCTAAGAAGTCCAGAAACTTTGTCTTCTTTGCCCAGTGAAGAGCCTCCCACAGCCTGATACCAGTGGCTCTTTTGGGGAGACTGAAAACCAAGCTGGTCACAGGCTCAGGGCACCCCCTCCAGATGAATATGGGAAGAATCAAGAACAGGATGGGGCCAAGGAGCAGGGGCATGCAGGAAGGAGGTGAGGGGCAGGCAGCTGTCGGCTCTGCCTAGAACTGCTGCCCCAACACAGACTCCATACCCCATCAAGAGGTTGGCCCAAGGCCTCAGCAAAACCTGAGTGCCACGAGTACCCTCTATGGTGGGGCAGCCCCAGAAAGGCAGCATTGCCTCCTTCAAGCCAATCACAGACAAAACACTGAGCCTCCCACACCCTGTACAGCCTCACACCAGGCTGCATGAGAATGGCTCACACCCCCAACCCTGAGTTTCCTACTGTATGCACTGCGAGGCCTGGGGCTGAACCACTTTCTCACCCCTAGGGAAAATCCAACTCACTGGGCCACATGCTTCCTGCAAGTTTGCACTTCAGACTCCCCTTCATCAGAAACCATCTCCCACACCCATGCTCACCACTCCCTGCCACAGGCCACGTCCTCTTGACTTCTTGGTAAGGCATCCCCCAATGTGGCCTCAGAAATGTCTGCACAGTGAGATGAACACCTGGCCTCCTAACCATAGCATCTCCCCTCACTCCACCCCTTGCAGTAGAGCTGCTCTCTTGGCCCAGACTCACCCAAGAATCAGGGTACATAGGAGCCAAAGTCCACACCTGATACTCAGAACCCTGCCACATATGGCTGGTGCCAGGTCAGCTCTGAAGGAACGCAAAGGTCACCATGCCCTGATCCTGGGCAGCCGAAGACAGCAAATGATCTCACCAGAGATCACGTTTTCGGGAGCCACAGGATGGCCTCTCAAAGCCTGTAGGTGGCAGGCCACACCTTGCTCTCCATACTGCATCCCAGGTCATGCCAATTGCAGATGGGGCAGCCCCATGTGAGGGATGGGGCTCTGACCTGGGAGTCAGGAAATCCAGGTGCTGCCCCAATGCTCCCCTCCTTGACAGTCCTGTGACTTCAGCAAGGCCTCAGATTCTCTACTGTCCCCACCCTGACACTGGGCAGTGAAGAAAGGACTTGGCCTCCCAACCACAAGATATGGAGAGGAGAGGGGTCAGAGAGTTTCTTGGCTAGGGGACAGAAGCTAGGAAAGTGAAGGAAGGGTTTGGGGCCCCTAGCTGCAGCAGGTGAATGGAAACTAACCTTTCCCAGAAATGTTTGTGTGCCTGGGTCTTTCTAGAAACATTCCTTCTCAGAACCTAGTGCCCTCTGGCTTGCCCATCAGCTCTCACCCAGTTCTACTCCCTGGTCTGCGCCATCTGGCTCCCAGCTATGCCACCTACAAGGTCAGAGGGGAGTCCAAGAAGGGCCATAGAAAGCATCTTTTCCAGGACCAGTGTGCCTTACCAAGGGATAGCACACTTGTGCCACACATCCCTAGTCCTAGGAATTTGAGGGATGACACAGGTGATTACCAGACCAATCAGTAGACCTAAGAGGGCCACCAGATTCTCTGGTCTGGAGGTCTAACCCTCTCATCATCTGGGTCCAGAGAGGTCTGGAGGGCAGTGACCTACCTGAAGTCGCATAGCTGATACCAGAGTCTCCAGCTGTCTGGCTGGAGCCCTCTCCATTTCCTCCATGCCTCCTGAGAAGCTGCTGGAGGGCACTGGTTCTCTGTGGGTTGGGTGAGCCATGGGCCCACAGGACAGCTCCCAGAGAAATAGCAGGAACAGGCTGAGTACTTGGGCAGCACTATTTGAGGCACTCTGGGCCACTGCCAGACCTGGAGGCTGGGGTGGCAGCTTGGAACATGAGGATAGTCAAGGGGACCAACAGAAATCCGGTGTTTTCTGGGCTCTGCCAATACAGTCAGCAAGGAGATATATGTCTAGAAAGGCACTGTCCCTTAAGATAGCAGTCATGGGGCCCCAGTGCCCCCTGGAGGAAGCCTGGGGCAAGACTGGTGCCCTAAACGCCACTCTCATCTCAATCCTGCCTTGCCCTGGTGGCACACCTACCTCTGTTTCTGGCCGAGGAATAAACACGGGAGGCATCATCTTCAGGCTGAGCCCCTGAAAGTCCCACTCTCCAAGGATGTACTGCACGGGCATCCTGCAGAGGGGGCAGCCAGGTGGTCATCAGTGACAGAGCCAGGACCAACAGGACCATGCCTGGGTTGAGAAACACCACTTGCGGCCAAAGTATCAGGCAAGACCATGTCTACAGCGCCTTGGGACTCCTGGGGCAAAGCTTTCCCTTGCTCCCTTCTTCCTATTTACTACCCGGGCCCCACTCTTGTCACTCCTGTACTCCAATACCTCCCTAGTCCTTGGACAACTCCTCCTCCCTGAACTTGGCGGGGATGGAGGAGGCTGGACTGCTGCTCTCCAAACACATCCTTCAGGTCTGATCCATGGGTGCTCACCTCTGTAATCGACGGCTACTCAGCTCCTGGATACACTGTAGTTGCTGAGAGGTCAAGGGCTGCGTCCGAAGTGCTGGCCTCAGGCTCTGAAACTGTCCCCACAGAGAATGTAAGTAGCTGGCTCACTGGGACCAGGAGCCCCAACCCAGGTGTCTTATGTGGATAATGCCTGTCCAGCACTGGTATGGAGGCCCAACCCTCTCATCATCTGGTCCCAGAGAGGGGGCAGCATCTTGCCCAAGGTTAAACAGCTAATACCAGGCCTCCAGTTGTCTATCCCTGAAAACTTAGGCAGAGATTTATTCATTCATTCAACAAACTGTTCTAGTGTGTGACAGGCACTAAGATGTTCCTCCAGAAAAATCCTATCAGTTTTAGCTAAGCACTCTTAGTGGGCAGAAAACTTGGATACCTCTCCCCTGAGGTCCTCCCTCCTCCCTCTTCCAGCCTTCTTGATAACACTGAACTTAACTGTTTTGGCTCCAAGGACATGAGCCACGATGTACTCACTGGATTCCCGGGCCTCAGGGACACCTTTCTTCTCAAAGACCCTTGTCCAGTGGTTGACCAGTTCTGTGGCACTGGATAACCCAGCCAGAGGTGGATGGGGTTGCCATGAGCTGAAGGTCCAGCCCCGGATACCTCCCCTCCTCCCTGGGCCAGACAGGAGGGGCCATAGCATTCGGCCCCAAAGCTCCATGTCTCAGGAAAAGGTTCTCCAGAGTGCTTCCAGGTTCCCAAGTCTGCCTTGATGTCAGCTGCTGAGGTGGGTGCTGAGAGTGGTCCCTGGCCCCAGCTGGGTAGAGATGAAGAGGTTATAAGCTCTGGTGCCCCAAAATGGTGCTGGTCCTCATATGTAGTTTTGGTTGCCACCCTGGGAGTGAGAGGAACCAGGAAAGCAGATGAGCCTTGTATGACAAGCCCCTTCCACCAACACGTTGCCTGAGAATGGGTGTGCTCTTGCTCTGTCACCACCTTGACTCCCATTTAGAGCCTCACACGTGACCTGTTTGATCATTCTTGTCTTGACCACTTAGGTTTTCTTCACCTTTTTTTTTTTTTTTGAGATGCAGTCTCACTCTATTACCCAGGCTGGAGTGCAGTGGTGCGATCTCGGCTCACTGCAACCTGTCGCCAAGGTTCAAGCAATTCTTCTGCCTCAGCCCCCCAAGTAGCTGGGATTACAGACGCCTGCCACTGTGCCCAGCTAATTTTTGTATTTTTAGTAGAGACAGGGTTTTGCCATCTTGGCCAGGCTGGTCTGAACTTCTGACCTCATGATCCACCTGCCTCCAAAAGTACTGGGATTATAGGCATGAACCATCGCACTTGGCCGTTTTCTTCACATTTTTAGCTGGAGTGGGCTGAGCCCATAGCTCAGTCTCTGCTAATTCAAACGGGCTGGTGGTAGGTTAGGGCACATATTTGGGCATAGGACTGATCTGTGTCTAACTCAGCATGTGTGACCTTGAGCAAGTCATTATTTCTGAATTTCACTTTCTTAATCCATAAGATGGGGGGAAATCACACCAAACTCATGGCAAGCAATGCATTAGTCTATGAATATCAAAGGCTTGGGAGGCAGCTCAACATACAGCAGGGACCGGATGTTACATGATCTTAACTGATGTTACAAGGGACAGATGATTGCCTTTGTGAGTTTTGCATCTGACATTTTGCATGTACTGTCATTGATTTGTATGCTGAAACTTTCCTTCTAATTTAACCCATAATCCAGGACATCAGCATAAACTGCCAACTAAAAAATTTACAATTTTATATTTAAAGATGTCACAAGCAAGTTTAACTGAAGGTTTAAAAATCAGTGGTCCCTCTCGGTGGCTCACCCCTGTAATCCCAGCACTTTGGGAGGCTGAGCGGGTGGATCACAAGGTCAGGAGTTCAAGACCAGCCTGGCCAAGATGGTGAAACCCCGTCTCTACTAAAAACACAAAAATTAGCTGGGCGTATCCGGGCGTGGTAGCAGGCGCATGTAATCCCAGCTACTCAGGAGGCTGAGGCAGAGAACTGCTTAAACCCGAGAGGCGAGGTTGCAGTGAGCCGAGATGTCGCCATGGCACTCCAGCCTAGGCGACAGAGCAAGACTCTATCTCACCACCACCACCACCAACAACAACAACAAAAAATCAGTGATCCCCTTTACTATCCCTTGGATAAAAGTCCAAACTAGCGGCTATTGAGCTACTGAGCTCCTTCTAAGTGCCACGTCTTCAGATACAAGTAGGATCCGAGAAGGGAAGCGACTTGCCCTATGTCACTCAGGTAGAAACTGTTCCAGGCAGGATACGAATCCGAGTCCACCGAACTTCAGAAGCGGCTCTGTGCACCAGTGCAACATTCCAGGAGCCACGGCCCGAAGTCAGGGGCTAAACTCCCTCCCAGCCACTCACCGCACCGTTAACGACCCAGACGAAGTCCCCTCCCTCCAACCCTGTTTCTCCATCTCACTATGGAGAATGGGACTGGCCAGGTCTCCAGTCTGTTGCAGTCAAAACACCCGGTTCCGATTCCCGCTTCCCGTTCATACCTGCCTGAGAGGCTACCCCACCCGCCCACCTGCCGGAGAAGATGCCCTGAACTCGACGCCCGGATGTGCGTGACCCGCCGCGCGTTCCGCCCCGCTTCCGGAGTCTGCGCATTTAAGAAAGGGCTCGGGCGGACGCCGTAGCCCAACTTCAGGGTTCCGGTCGTGGATGGGTTCCTCCCAGATGACATACCCTTGAGGATGCAAGAGGAGGCTGTGAATTCCAAGCCCTCTACGCCCGCAGGCCCACGGGCAGGAAGTGCGAAGATGTGGGTGTGGTTGACCCCTGGGGCCCGGACCTGCTGGTCTTCCTTAAAGTCACAGCAGGGATATGGTTCCAGTCCAATGGGATTTGCCCTGAGCTGCCCTTTAGGGACCGGGCCCGGGCGGTGTGCGGGCGGAGCCCAGTAGCCAGCTGAAACGGACCCTTGTCACCAGGAGGCCCAGGAGTTCGAAGGCGGGGACCAGATGTCCGGGGGCGTGGTCTATCTTAGTCGGGGGACGGGCGGAGCTGTGCGTGGGCGGGTTTCAGTGTTAAAGAGGGGACCAACTTTGGGGTCCGGTCCCATTGTCGTGACCCTACCGAAGGCAGTGGCCCGAGCCCACCAGGCGGGGCCGGGTGGCGACCAGAACCCAGAGTCCGCTGTTTTCCCTCCCGCTCCGGTTTAGGATTTGGAACAGGAAGCCAGATAACTGGGTTCGAATCCTGACTCTATTGGCAACTCAGGAGACTGTCCAGGTGTTGGAACCCCTCTGGACCTCAGTTGCGCCTTCTATAAAATTTATGGCAGCGTCTCGCAAAGTGTGTCTTGTCAAAATCCCCCCACCAGAATTTACTGTTAATAGAACACTGTTAACTAAACTACATTTTTTTTTTTTTTTAGACGAAGTTTCACTCTTGTTGCCCAGGCTGAAGTGCAATGGCACAATCTGTGCTCACTGCAGCCTCCGCCTCCGGGTTCAAGCGATTCTCCTGCCTCAGCCTCCCGAGTAGCTGGGATTACAGGCGTGAGCCACACCTCGCCCGACTAATTTTGTATTTTTAGTAGAGACAGTGTTTCACCGTGTTGGTCAAGCTGGTCTAGAACTCCTGACCTCTGTGATCCACCGCCTCGGCCTCTCAGAGTGCTGGGATTACAGACGTGAGCCACGACGCCCCGCCTTAAACTGCTATTAAACATGCTATTTCCCTGGCTCCTTCCCAGTCCTTCCACAGGGGCATTTGCATTTGTACCAGGCTGCCCGGTGATCCTCGTAAACTCCTATGAAAACTGGTGGATTAGGAGTATCTGAGGGCTCGTTCCCTGAGCTGAGCATGCCGTGGATGGACGCTATTGTGGATATATGTAGGCTTGCCTGGGTCGGGGTGCCCAATAATAAATCCTCCACACTGTCAAATTCTCTAGACGAACATTCCCCATTTCTAGCCCAGGGTTGGAGTCATTTACCAAGAACCCTCACACCAGAGGACCCAACTGAGTAGAAATCCAAAGCTCAAGAAAGGAAAGCAGCTTCTTCAAGGTCACAAAGTTAGCTAGAGTTCAGTGTAGGCCCAAGGACTCCCTGTCCAGTGTTCTCCCCAAGTCTCCTCTGTACATCTGCATTTTGGGGGCGTGAGTCTGTCCCGGCACGGGTAGCTGGCAGGGATCCCGAGTTCTAGCCCAGGAAGGTTCTGGCCACCCACGGTCCCCTGCCTAACTTCAGCGCAGGCCACAGGGTGAGGTGCAGTCGCTGTAAAAACTGCGACCCGGCTCCAGGCTCCATCTGAGGGTGGAGTCAGACCCGTGCGACAAGCGAACGGTCCAATTCTGGGCGGGCTCTAGGCCCGACAGCCAATCAGGGGCCGGGGGCGCGGAGCGTACGGGGAGGCAAAGCACTGTAGCTTCGGGAATCCCCCGGGGCTGCTGGGCCCGGCCCCACCCCTGCCGTGGGTCCCGGGCCTGCCCACCCTTGCCCAGGCCGGCAGAGCCAGCGCTCGCGGCTGCAGCCGGTGCGTAGTAGCGGGCCTGGCCTGCGGCTCGGAGCGTGCAGGGAGGGCGGACCTCGGATTGGACCCACTGCCCCACAAGCCGGGCTTGGGTGTTATTACCCCCGCCCGGGCCTCCCACCAGTCACCACCACCCCTAGCCTCTCCAACTGAGCTCGGCGCCCAGAGAGGATTAAGTAAGTGCTGAGGTCGCTGCTCCTGTGCAACAAGGGAGGCATCGCAGGGTCGCGGAGGCGGGCATGGGGATTGGGGCAGGGAGGACTGAGAGACCTGGGGGAGAACGGCTTGTGGGTTCTCGAAGGTCGCAGTGCCGACCCCTTTCACCCCGGTTTCCTTCCCTGCTTTCCCTTTGGACCCTGAGGCTGGCCTGGAAAGTGGTCAATAGGGCTCCTTCTATCCTTTGGAGGAGAAGTAAACAGAGCCCCAGAGCACGAGTTAAGGGTTTGGCCCAAGGTCACGCCCGGGATCAGTTGCAGAGCCAAGAAAAGAACCCAGTACTTCCCTGTGTGCCCAGCCTAGCTGGAGGGAGAAGGCAAAGAGGGATGAGCCTTTCTACCCCTTAACCCTCTGCCAGCCTTGCCCTTTCCTAACGGCCCATCACAGATGTGTGCATACCTCATACACACCCACGCATCTTTACAGGGAGGCACCCCCACAAATGGGCCAGCCCGGGGGGCATGTGTGCAACCATGAGCTAGGTTTCCCTCCTCTCCCTAGACCTTCCCTTCTGCAGCTTGGCTGGAACCTCTTCCCACCCTTCCTTAACCAGGGCCCTCTGCACTGGGCAAACCTCTCACCCTCTGCTTCCAGGGGAGGAGAGTAAAGGAAGAGAAGGCACCCAAACTGGGAGCTCCATTCCTACCTCTGAAGCTATGTTCTCCGCTTACCTTTCTCCTTGACTCTAGCAGTCCCTCTATTGACAGTGGTGAGGGAAGGCAGTCCAATGTCCCCAAGAGCCTGCAGAGAAGCCCTGCCAGAGAACCAGAGCCTCTCTCTCCTTCTTGTCTTCTGGTCTTTCCACATCGGCCTGCACTCACACTCCAAGCATAGCCTGGACCACACAATGGCCTGGGTCCAGGGGCTCCTGTGGCTCCCCTTTGTAACTGGGTTGGCCATGGGGAGAAAACCTAACATGTATTGGATGTTTACTGTGGATGGGGCTTGTGCTGAGCTAAGTCTTTCTTAGAGACCTGTTTGTTCTGCCATTTCTGTAACCCCACGACCCTGTGGGGATGTTCTCAATATTCCCACCTTAGACTCAGGAAAACGGAGACACAGAGAGGTGGAGTGACTTGCCTGGGGTCATCTAGTTAAGTGGCTGAGCTGGGATCAAAGACTGGCCTGTCTGACTCTTGGGCAAGTGTTTCCCTCCAGGAGAGGAAAAAGCTGTGGCATTTTTTTCCCCAAGCAGGATGAGGGATGTGGGAGGGAGGGAATGAGGAAGTGGATATGGGGATGCAGGTTGGGGGTGGTTTTTGATCAGGGGATGGAGAATTTTTCTTTCAAAATCCCCGCTGCCTTTCATATCTTCCAGGTATGCTCACTGTGATCTCCTTATCACAGACAGAGGATGCAGGGCTTAATTTTTGTTCCTAAAAACAAGGGCACCGTAGATATATAAAGTACATGTCCTAACTTCTCCTGAACTTGCCCTCATCTTTGCCCTCAAACCTTTATCTCCCCAAGGCTTTCAGAACCTAGAGAGACTTCATCTCACTACTGAGCCCCTGTCCTTAGCCTCATGTTTTTTATTCTTTCCTTTCTAGCACCCAGGAAGGCAGGGGGCTCCCTTTATCCAAGGAGGTGGCTGTGCAGGTGGCCACCACAGGTGGCAGGAACCACAGGCTGGGGCACTCCGGAGTCAGGAGTGAGTGGGCAGGTTGACTGGCCTCAGGCAGCCTCTCAGCCAGGGCCCTCTCCGCATCAGCATGAACTCCAGGACTGCACCTGCTAGGGGCTGGTTCAGCAGCCGCCCACCCACCTCTGAGTCTGACTTGGAACCTGCCACAGATGGTCCAGCCTCCGAGACCACTACCCTCAGCCCAGAGGCCACCACCTTTAATGACACCAGAATCCCTGATGCGGCTGGTGGCGCGGCCGGCGTGGGTACCATGCTTCTGTCCTTTGGGATCATCACGGTGATAGGCCTGGCCGTGGCCCTGGTGAGAGCTGGGGTAGGCTGGGGGAGGATAATCAGTGTTTAAATGTGTAGAGAACCTAATCAATCAGAAAGCAATCTGTTTTTTTGTTTTTTGTCATTGTTGTTTTGAGATGGAGTCTCACCCTGTCCCCCAGGCTGGAGTGCAATGGTGCGATCTCAGCTCACTGCAACCTCCGCCTCCCAGGTTCAAGTGATTCTCCTGTCTCAGCCTCCTGAGTAGCTGGAATTATAGGTGCATACCACCTCACCTGGCTAATTTTTGTATTTTTAGTAGAGACGGGTTTCACCATGTTGATCAGGCTGGTCTCGAACCCTTGACCTCAGGTCATCCACCCGCCTTGGCCTCCCAAAGTGCTGGGGTAACAGGCGTGAGCCTCTGCACCTGGCCAACAATCTGTTAATGAGAGTGCTGTCCTCCCTTCCCACAGAGATTTGTCCATTGGGGCCCAGAGATCAGAGACCAGAGAAGCAATGCTTTTAATTGGAAGAAACAGAAAACGTTCTCAGGAATACATGGTGTCTTGAGCCAGGTCGTGAAGGCTACCTAGGAGTCAGGGAGTTTCAAGTGGAGGGTCCTGATGGGCAAAAGTTTGGAGGCAGACAGAAGGTTCTGTAAGCAGCGATCAGGACAGTTAGGGCAGTGGGTGTGGGGTTGCAATAGAAGAGGCTTAAAGCTGTTTGGCATGGACTGTAGGTTGCAGAGTCTGGGTGAGATAACCTGCACACGGGAGGCTGTTGGCAGTGAACATTCATTTATTCACTTGGCAGTTATTTACTGAGTGCCTGCCCTGGGACAGGCCTTTTGCACCAAATAGAGGCTGGGAAGACAAGGTCCTGCCCTGTGGTTCTTACAGGGAGTGGGAAAGAGATAAAAACCA